GGTTTACAGTAGAGAGAAAATGAGCAGTCACCAAGCTTTCAAACAAAAGAGGAAAACACAGGAGACAGAAGAGAGCAACGTAAATGTAATTACATTTAGGGAGATGGTGCCAATTTAACAACACTGGAGGCTTAAACTTTCGACTGTTCAATCCAGTGCTCATTGTACTATTTTATGTTAATTATTCTATAATTTTACCGTAGTACAAAGTACAAAATATCAAGTCTCCTTGAGGCAGTGTTAGGATCACCTCTATTTTCTTCTTCTTATTATTTTTTGCATAGAAACCATGTTTAATTCCCAGCCACTTGGAAACTCACCACCACCTGTAACTCTAGTTCTAGAGCTTCTGAACCCGTTCCTCTGGCCTCTGCAGGATCCAGGCATGCACATAATGGTGCATATACACACATGTAGGTACATATGCAAACACACAAAGCTAAATCTTTTTTTAAAGTCTCCTTAGTGTGTTTATAGCTATTAATATGCTAGTATGCACAACGTTTCTCTTAGATGATAATAGGAGTAACATGTGACACCTGTGGAATAATTAGTACTGGCTGGCTAAGTACATGGATCATTTATGAATACAAAGAAGACAACTAGAATTAAAATTCATTTGCCCAGGTAATACAGTCACTTAGCAAATGAGGGCTGACATTCAAGTCTGCCTGATGCTGGAGCTACCTCTTTTAATAAGCATGCTGTGATTTCTTTAAACATAATTATCAAGCATTTTCCACTCTAATGATGGAACCTGAAGCAAGCAGCATCCATTAGCATTTATTGGTACTTGTATTGTCTAGATTGAGAGATACTTCCCTGCTCTCCATGATAATTTGTTAAAAATATGAGATTAAAATAGACTTAACACTTATTTTTATGTACAATACATGCACATATAGAAATTTATGGAGAGACAAACAGGGCAGAGAAGGCAATACATCAAATATATTCTTGCACTTTACAGATGAAAATAAAGACCTTTTTTCCTTTACTAAGTAATACTGAAAAAATGGAAAGGCATTATCTAAAATGTTTCATGACATTATCTTGTCTCAACTTGTGATCATATTTCATGAAAGAGAACAATTAAACATATGACGATCCTTACACACAATACCAAATGCATGAATTCAGAGGACACGTAAAAGTGAAACACAAGACTTTCAGAGACTCCTATCTTTATTGTATTTTTCATCACCTCAGCAATCTTCTTAGCTGAAATTCCTACTGCATCTAAGTTGCCTGTGATTTCTTTTAACTACCAACCAACAACTTTGGCACCAGATTCTAAAAGTTAGAAAACCAACATTTACGTTAACAGAAATCAAAGTTTTATGTTCAGACTGCTAATTTTACTTTATAGCACAAGAGCTCTATAAAAAAAGTGGAAATCCCCTCATTCTCTGAATCCCTAATTTCATTACTCCAGAATCACAATTATGTGATATATTTCTTAGATATAGTACTTCTCAGAGCTCAACTTTTTCAAATCTACAACACCATCATGTATAAGACAGCTTCATAAGATGCTCTAATATTTTAATTTCATTTATACATATAGCAACAGCATATATAATTGAAATTCCTTTACACATAGATTATAAATTCAACTGTTCCAATGCTCTTTATCCCTTAGACATATTTTGACGGCTATTTTTGGTTGTCAACCTGACTATATATGGAATTAACAGAAACTTAAGCTGCTGGGTACACCTGTAAAGGACTTTTTAAATTAAATCATCTGAAGTGCAGAGCTCCACCTTTAATATGGGCCACACCTGCTAACAGCCTATATAAAGGACACGGGAGAACAAAGTTTGCTCTCTTTGCCTGATCATTTTCACTCCATTCCTTGGCAAATCCATTCTGTCACTGGCATTAGAGCCTATTTCTTTGGAATTTTGTTGCATACTTAAGACCAGCTGAGCCATGCACCCTCATGAACTGAACGAAGACTAGATTCTTGGACCTTCCACTGGTAGGCAGCCACTGATGGACCACAGTCTGTAAGTCATTCTAATTAAGTCTCATATGTATTTATATATTATATTTACTGAAAAACTTTGAATTTAGCCCCAGACTCTAGTTTTATATTACTACTTTGTATTTCTGTATTACTGAATACAGAGTAACTTCATTTTAACTCTAAATCACAATCACTAAAAGTATACATAAAATAGAAAATATACTTAATAGCTATATACCAACACAGCACACAACAGAACTAATATCAACAGTAACATTTATAGTGAATTATTTGCAAATGACACAATGAAAACTTTGTCAACAGCTGGCACTCTACAGTGATCTTAAGATCACAATTTTAAAATACACTTCAAGTAAAGATATGTAAACGTGTTTCAAAATTAATAGTAATCATAGAACCATAGCAGTATGGTTTTTCTCTTCTTCCCTTCAGCCCTAATCCTACCTTCCGAACATTCCCCCACTGCTTAAGTCTAACTGTCAAGTTATTGTGCTCTGACAAGAACATCGTACCACTGGTATTTAACACAATGTGTCAAAGGTCAGAGTTTAAGTATATATTACAATTAAATGAAATGAGAACAATATACTTCGGAAAATTCAAACTATAACTGCAGCCACCAGCGTTAGTCCTACAGGTAATTTTTTAAACCAAGCTTTGCTAAAACCCACAGAAGCCCTAACACTGTTTTCTATGAAAGTTCCTATTTATTTTTGTCCCCTGACCAGAGAGTCTGCTTCCTCTTTACTGATGAGGAAGCCATAGAGATATTAAATGATGACAATGAAGTTAGAAGGTGGTTATAAGATTGATTACTATGCTAGGATAATCCAAATATTTTATAATGTTTTGGCTAATTAATCCAAACCCCTTTTTCCCAGTAAAATGTACATTAAAAAGAAACCAAACAAACAAACAAACAAAAAGAAGTGGCCGGGCTTTCCGTGATTTTCTCTTACTGCACAATTGATAAAGTTCGGGGGTTTCTTTTTGTAACTATTTTTGTGTTTTGTTTGTCAAGAATTGGTTTTTCTGTATAACAGCTGTGGCTGCCTGAGACCTCACTTTGTAGATGAGGGTGGCCCCTAACTCACAGAGATCTGCCTGCCTCTCCCTTTTGAGTGCAAGGATCCTAAGGCGTGCACAACCATACCCAGGTTCAACTCAGTTTTAAAATAACTAATCTCAACCACGCTATCTCCACCTCTAATTCAAGAACACTGGTAAGAAAAGATATTACTTTAATGGAAGACATCTATTTTGACATTCAAGCTTTACCTTGGAAGATACCATCTTCATTTTACAGACTTGGATAAATCACCTGCCATGTCTAGAGTCATTCAAGTAACAAAAGGCAAAACCACAATATTACTTATGCTCATCATTCTGAAACGTACACAATTCACTTAAAGTTTTTCCCAAAGTCTACTTAATGAAAATAAACTGCAATTCATAGTTTCCTTGTGCATGCTCAGTGAGTACACCAGGAATATGACTGGACACATCTTAGTACCTGAACTGAAGTGTCTATTAGCTTTCCTTTGAGGAAAAACAAAGGCTCCTGACTTCCTTTCTCACTTCTGTCCTCAGTCTATCGAGGAACCCTCTTCAGAAGAGGTTGGATAACATTACGTGGCTCCTGAAATCCTTACAGTGGCGTTCACTCCCACTCACCCCCATGATCAGGCTGCTCACTCACATACTGTCTCCATCTTTAATTCCTTCTCTCAATTCTGAGCCCCCAGGCTTCCCTGATATTTTGCTAAGTTTTTGTCTCATGGTCTTAGGCATGACTGGGCCTTCTGACTGACAGCACCTGCTGACCGTTACCTGTGCAGTTAATTACGTTTATGTCACATCCTTCCTAGAAAGCCATCGTTTCCTTGAGAATCTTCTCCTTTGTCCACATGACCGTGCCAAATAATATACCTTTCTTTCCTGTTAATACTTTTAATGATCGGAATTTATAATCTAAATAGGTATGGGGGCTGGAAAGAGCGCTCAGCAGTTAAAAGCGCTTACTGCTGTTGCATGGAACCCAGGTTTGGCTCCTAGCACTCACATCGGGAGCTCAGAATCACTGGCTGGTCCCAGGGGATCTGATCCTTTCTAGCTTCCATGGTCACCTGCGCACAAGTTTTGCACAGAAACTTAATCGGGCGTGTACGCATACACATAAATAAATATTAACATCGTACTTTTAGGACTGTACTTGAACAATAAAACGTACGCTGAGAGGAAATTATTGGAAATTTAGTCCGTTTTGTTGGTTTTTCTTTCTACTTTGCTTATGGATCTTTACCTAGTAACTAAAACGGTGCCCCGAGTATAGTGATAGCTGACGTTTCTAACATCTGCTGATTCAATACCTTTCTCTCTTGAATCCCTCCCCATGTACAAACACTGGAAATCCTTTACACACTCACTTAAAGTAAACAAGCTTTACTTTATGAATCCATCCCCTGCATGCTTTCCCTTGGCCATTCATTTCCAAAACTTAGGTGAATCAAAAAGGGCCAAGCGTTCTCCTGTTTTCTCGTGGCACGGGGGTGGAGGGATGATCACGCTTCCTACAAGGACTTGGATGGCCAGTTTTGTTTTTTTTTTTTTCCTGGTGGGAAAGGGAAGAAGAACTTTGGATCGCCACCAATCGACCCTAGACCCTCTCGTGAAACTCACATGAAGCGGCGAACCGCGGCTCAGGAGCAGCCTCAGCCAGATGCAAGAAAGGCCAGCCTCCCGCAGCCCGTGGCAGGGGGAAAAGGACCCAAGGTCTGTCCTTGATACATGCCTGAGAGTTTCCCAGATCCACCCCATAGCAGTCGTCCGCTTCCTGCACTTGCTCTCTTCTCGTGCCACACTACGGTCTCATTTCGCCTTTCCCCTCCCTCCCTTCCTCCAATCCTTCCTCCCCTCGTTCTCTCCCGCTGCACTTTGCTGTCTGTTTGGGCAAGGGACAGGCGGCCGGAAGTTAGGGGTCTTCCCCTGGAGTTGCGTCGCCAGGCCGTGACGTCACGAGCAGTGGCCGACCTGAGGCTGCCGAGGCGGAGGGGATGCTGGGAGCTGTCAGTGGAGCGGGGCGCGCGCTCCCAGCCAAGTTCTGAGCTGGGAACCTGGGCAGCTCTCGCGGGCGAAGGCTGGTAGCCCCCGCTGTCACCTTCCCTAAGCCGCCACTCGTAGACGCGCCTGCAGTGCAGAACACGGCCCACTAAGTAGCAGCGCCAGGCACAAGCACAGCGCTTAGGAGCTCATCCCCCCCAATCTCTGCGCCCCCAGATTCAGGCAGGTATTCTGGTGTACCAGCGTTCATTCTGTGTGGTAGTGGGTGGGGCTTGTGGGACACAGGACGGTCAGATGCAGAGAGTGACCCAGCCAGTCTGCTGCCAGCGGTAGAATCAACCTGTGCAGTTACTTGCTGCTGCTTTTGTCTCCAGACTTCCCTCTAAGCTGGAGCTTCGAAATGAGCAAATACGGTTTTACTCTAGATAAATCAACTTCCCCCCCCCGCCCCAATTTTTGACATTTCACCTTCATTTGAGTCATTCATCTCCAAAGCCTTTCTGAGTTTATATTGTGGCTTGTTCATTGAAAAACTGTGTCTTGTCTGAGGTCCTTAGTAGTCAAGCAGCTAAAAAAAAAAAAAAAAAAAAAAAAAAAAAAAAAAAAATGGACATAGAAGTTTCAAAGGATTCTTTGAGTAAATTTTACAAGCCAGCTGCTTCCACGGCTTTTGTCTTGTAATCTTTCACCTCATTGTTTTATTTTTTTCATTTTCTTCTGGTCACTTAGTGCGAGCACACGTGTTTATGTCTATTTTCTGTTTGTGAGTTTTGTGTGCACCTGAGAAGTATAGAGGAATAATTAAATGTCTTCATGCTTGCTAGTGGTTTATCTTTTTGAATCATAAACACCTGTTTGAGTTTTCAGTTGTATGTGGTTAAGATCTATAACTGAAACCCCAATATTTTGCTGTAAAATTGAATATTAAAATGCTGCAGCTAAATCTCATCTTTCCTATAACTTCCAGCCTGGTATTTAGATCTAATTTGGGATCTATTTATTGAATAGGAAATTAAAATTCCAGGAAGTGGTGGTTCACACCTTTAATCCCACACTTCAGAGTCAGAGGCAGTGGATCTCTTTGAGTTCAAGGCCAGTCTGGTGTACAGAGCAAGTTCTAGAACAGCCAAGGCTGCACAGCGAAACCCTGTCTCAAAAATAAAAACTGGAAGAAATTAAAATTCTAGTCATTGCCTTTTTAAGGCATCACCATAGAAAACAAATTGGCCTGTGTCACTAAGTTTTCAGGTCCTTAGGTTCTGAAAGCCACAGGAGATTTTATTTAGCTTCCAGTGAGCAGAGAAGGAGCCGGTACTTCAACGGCTTCTTACAGAGCAAGTTTGAGGCCTGAATTTTGAATGGGATTGAAGTGGTGTGCATACATGCTGTCATCAAAACTTTTCATAGGAAAGGGAGAGTTTTGGGAACTAAGACCTTGCTTCTTGTCCAGTTTCGGCATAATTGTATCTGTGGTGGCACTCATGGGTCTACCCTTTCTGTTATAAAGAGCACAGATACATTTGATTTGGCAAAATGGTGCCCAAATCAGATTGAGGCCTGGAGTTCTCTCATGGTTGGCCATTGAATACATGTGGCTATGGGTACCTGGCTTTTTGTTTTTTGCTTGTTTTTGTTTTTCGAGACAGGGTTTCTCTGTATGACAGTCCTGGCTGTCCTGGAACTCACTTTGTAGACCAAGCTGGCCTTGAACTCACAGAGATCCTACCTCTGCCTCCCAAGTGCTGGAATTAAAGACGTGTGCCCCCACCACCTGGCCAGGTACCTGGATTTTAAACAGCTCTCGCTAATTTGTAGTCTAGCAAAGAGAGCTCTCCTTAATGCCTGGTGTAGTCCAGGGACACGTGCATCTTCCCTCTGCTGAACCTTTGCTTGCACATTGTCAAGACTGATTGTGGACCCTAAGTATCTTGTTTGATTTCTATGCCAAAAGCAAATGCTCAGTGTAGGGATGTAGAATTATTTCCCAGTGCAGACCTATAGAGTATGCTAAATCACATTTCCTTTTCTTTTAATGTCATTTCTCCATGAGAATTTTTTTTAATATCAAATATTCAGTTCTCTCTTTCCCTCCAACAAAGTAAGAGCTTGGTTTTGTGGACTGTATGTTTGGACACATTTTTAACTTTTTTTTCTTTCTTAAGCTCCCTTTATTGTTTTCGTTTCAGTTTCTTTGGAGAAAAGGCACATGCCCTTTCTTCAGCAAGTCTTCACGCCTTTTCTATGGCCTATGTAGAAACCTCATTTCTTTCATCTGCTTGAAGGTATTTCAATGGCTTAAACTACAATGGCTTTTGTTTAATGTAAGCAAATGGTGACTTCATTCTTCCACATAGCTACTACTTTGGGTTTATTCTTACTGAACTCTTGTGTAAATTTTCTTGTTTCTTTACCGCTGTTGTTTATTCCTTCTGTTTTACAAAATTACATCCTAGAGAAATGTGCTAATAGTAGATGTGTGGATGGTGTTTCTTGTATGTTTCTTGAACTGTTTGCTGCCTTTGTGTGGGTAATATTTTTATTAGTTATATGATGGTAAGTTATTGGTTTTTTACTATATTGTTGCTATAAATTCTACTTTGACTTTAATGCAATAATCCCATGATTACTAAGGAATCTGTTTATTTTCTCATGAATCTATTCGGTCATTGCTCTTCGCTCTTATGAAATGTCGTTTTCTGTTCTCTTGCTTTACTTAATGGATGTAATATTTTCTCAAATTTCTCTAGTTAAATTTTGTTTCATTTCTCACAAATTATTTCAGTTGCCACTAAAGCTGTGGGGTGTGTGTGTGTGTATGAATTAATATTTGTTTTTGCTCTTTATTTTGTACTTCTTTTTAAACTAAACAATGATTCTCATAAGTTCAGTGTTTAGGAGTTAAGATTGGCTGTGTGATATTTTGGTATGTGGGGAAGCTTGTTGACTGAGTGCTCATTTTAGGACAGCTAGAACTTAACAAGGGTACCAAGAATTCCTGAATGGAGGACTTTCTACCCCCGCCCACACTTGCCCCTTTCTCTCTTGCCCTCTCATCATCTCTTTCCCCAGTGTTTATAGCAGTTGTAATTTAGTTTTGTTTCACTCACTTGGCATTCCTCCCACCTCCCTTTTTACTGTTTCTTTCCTTTCTTTTCTGATTTTATTTCATACTTAGAAAGTAGACAACTGTCTGTATATATTGGGAGCTGGTGACAGAGCCGACTTTTCTAATACATCAGTATTTCCCATCAGCATTCTAACTGCAGCCTCTCTTTTGACTGCTGCTTAGCATTGTTTGCATTCTCAAAGGTGAAGCCCCCGAACCTGAAGAGGCCAAGTTAACCTTTAACTCTTACACCCTGCATTCTTCCTTCTGTGTTTACGATGGTGCTCTTTTGTATGCACTTCACTTTGCTGTCATTTCCTATAGTCCTTACACTAGTAGGCTAGTAGGTTAGTCAAGCTTTAGGTAGAAGAGGAACCTCACTAATATGAAAATATAGTAGCAAATTTCCTCTGCACTTAAAAGTCACAGATGTGGCTATGCCCACATATGTATGTAAGTATTTGAGAGGTAAAGGCAGACAGATTAAGAGTTCAAGGATAGTGAGACGAGCCCTGCCTGGGATAGAAGAGAACCCTGTATCAGAAACAAAATGAGACAAGAACAACCACAAAGCAACGAAACAAAACACTCCTCCCCAATTGAATTTAAAAATGAAACCTTCTAACTTTTTGTTTGTTTCCTTTTATTATTTATTCTTCTCTCATATATTATTACATCCTGACCACACTCTATCCTCTTTTCTCCTCCAAGTCCCTGCCCTCCTTCTCCTTTCCTTTCAGAAAAGGCCAGGCCTTTCAGACACATCAACCAAGCATGACAAATGAAGTTATACTAAGACTAGGCACATCCCATCATTGAGGCTGTACGAGGCAACCCCGTAGTAGGAAAGGGGTCCCAAAAGCAAGTGAAAGAATCAGAGACAACTCCTCACTCCCACAGTTAGTAGTCCCACAAGATCACCAAGTTACATGACCATAATCTATATAGAGAGAGGACCTAAGTGAGGCCCAAACAAACTACCTGATTGTTGGTTCAGTCTTTGTGAGCCCTTATGAGCCCTGGTTAGTTGATTCTATGGGCTGTTTTCTCGTTGTGTCCTTGAACTCTCTGGCTCCTACAATCCTTCCTCCTGCACTTGCTGGATGAAGCCTCTCTGATGATGTTTGCAAGGCTCCAGTTTATGTGTATAGCAGGGTGTTATCAGAAATTAGTTCTTTTTTTTTTTGCCAGCCATGTTTGGTTCTTTCCCAAGTATCTGGACTATCCAATCTCTGGTTCCTGGCCCTCCAGGTGGTGTCAGGCATGGGCTCTCTCTCTTGACATGAATGTTGTGGAGTATTAATTTTAGATGTGTTACATTCTTTTATGCTGTGAAATATTTGTTAAATGATGCAAAGATGTGTTGCATTCTTTTATGTTGGATTTGTTTAATTCTGTAAAGCTGTGTTACTGTGTCTGAAACACCTGATTGGTCTAAGAAAGAGCCAAATGACCAATAGCTATGCAGGAGAGAGGGATGAGTGGGATTCCCAGCAAGAGCCAATAAATAGGAGGAGAAATCTAGGGAAAAGAAGAGGAGGAGCCAGAAAAGGAGAAAAGAGGAGGAGAACTCCCAGGGCCAACCACCCAGCCACACAACCGTCCATGGAGTAAGAAGGGAAGAAAGACATGTAGAATTAAAAAGGCAAAAAGCCCAGAGGCAAAATAGAGAAGGAAGAAAATGGGTTAAGTTAGAAAAGCTGGCTAAAAACAAGCCAAACTAAGACTAGGCATTCATAAGTAAGAATAAGTCTCTGTGTATTTATTTAGGAGCTGGGGGAATGGGACCCACAAAGAATTAAAAATCCAACTACACATGGGTCTCAAGTTGGATCAGTCATTGGAAGGTCACTCCCACAAGATCTGTGCCTCTTTTACCCCAGCACATCTAGTAGGCAGGACAAATTGTAGATGGAAGGTTTTGTGGCAGGATTGGTGTCCCAGTCCCTCCACTGAAAGCTGTGCCTGGTTATAGAAGACGGCTGGTTCAGGCTCCAGGTCCCCCATAACCAGCAGTCTTCACTAGGGTCACCCTCGTGGATTCCGGGAGATCCCATTGCACTAAGTTTCTACCTCACCACCAAAATACTCCCCAAATCCAGTTACTTCTCCCAGTATTGAAAATCTTTGAAGTTGATTTTGAACTGCAGTATAAACTTAGGCTCTGGTGTTTTTATTTTTCTCTCATATATTGTCTTGAAATTTTTTAAACTTTGACTTTTTTATAGTTTAGTTTTATGATAATTTTTCCAAGTTGTATATTAGTTTTCAAGTGAGAAAATGCTGGATTAATATTGGGTCAGTCTATCATAAAAAATTATCTCCTTTTCTAGATCATAGAGGACCCAGAACTCCAGAAATGTTTCCTTTGAAGGATGCAGACATGGGCGCCTTTACGTTCTTTGCCTCAGCTCTTCCCCATGATGTTTGTGGAAGCAACGGACTTCCTCTCACACCAAATTCCATCAAAATATTGGGTCGCTTTCAAATCCTTAAGACCATTACCCATCCCAGACTGTGCCAATATGTGGATATTTCTAGGGGAAAGCATGGTAAGCCATATGTTTTGGTTTGTTTGTTTTTTGATTTTTTTGAATTTTCTTTTGTATTTTATGTTCACTAATTCAAATCATGATGCAGTTTTAAATACAAAATATATATTGACATGCAGTCATGAACTTAATTTTATGGTTCAAAGTAAATTTGACTACCTTTTAAAATGAAAATGGAGTTTTTATTTTCTTATTATTGTTGCATTTGCTTTTTTTTTTAATAGAACAAAAGTGGTTGGCTGAAACCCATGCTTTGTGACAGTAGTGTGTGCTGCTGCTGTGATCATGTAATGAGGTTCATCTATAACTGAAGTTGCTGAGGATGACAATGCTTATTGTACTGAAATTGTTTAGAAATCTTAATGGCCGACTGAACTTCAATGTCTTAAGATTACTTAATGTGCCTTAGTAATATGATCCTGATTTTCTACAAAAAAAAAACAATTTGGAGATACAAAAATACATCAAAGTCAAACCATTATACCTTCTTGACATTCTGCCATTTTTTTCTAGAAAATATCTATTTCATTTGTTTCTATCTAATGGTGAAGAACTTCATAAACACGTTTTTTGTCTTTCTGATGAGCATGCAAAGCTGTATTTGAAATTGGCTACTTCATTTCTTTTAAAATTATTTGCTCTGAGAACATTTGTTTTGTTGGCTATGAGCAGAATATTATTTTTGTAATGATAGCTCTCATTATGAGGTCTTATTACATACTAGGCGGTAGTCTAGGTGTTTACTCATAGCAATTAAATAATCTTCATCATACTACTATGCAACAGGAACAATTACAGCATTGTTTTACAGATAAGGAAATTCAAGCAGAGAACATGATTGCATAGAGGAAAATAAGAAAAGATTGTTGGGCGGGAGTGGCACATGCCTTTAATGTCAGCACTCAGGAGACAGAAGCAGGCAGATTTCTGTGAGTTTGAGGCAAGCCTGGTCTACAGAGCTAGTTCTAGGACAGCCAAGGCTGTCTTAAAATACAAAAAAAAGATAATACTAATATCTAAAAAAAATTTTGTTACTTGATGAACACTTTCAAAGTCACTGTAAATCTATAATAATGCCATAGCAACATCATCCAGGCTGTTTGGTCCTTACTGTAAAACTCTGTTATATACCTAGTACCTTGAATATTTAGGTGCTTTTAAAAACTTGGTGAGAGGCAGGGAGAAATAGTGGTTAAAAGTAGTAATTGGCTAGTAGATAGTTATATTTGATTTTTCATATTCACGTATACATGTGCATACATGCATGAGTACAGGTATGTAAATATAAATATACCTACAGATATTGAAATATATGTTAGTTTTTAGAGCTTTTTATGGTGTAAAGTTGTCTTTCATTTATTGATTCAGCAAATATTAGGAAAAGATTATTATTGTCTGGCCTGGCTTGATCTTCCAGATGTAAACTACTAAGAATTTTTTTCTATGGGGAACATATTTGGAGAGCAGAGCTTTGAAGCAGTGAAAGTCTAGGCTCCTAAGTGAGTGTCCTAAATTTGCTTTTAAGTAAGCAGACGAAGCTCCGTATCTGTCCTCTTCTGTAGTGCCTGCACTCTCCACATTTCTGCAGATGTCAGTCATTGTGACGTCAGGGAAGTACACAGTTTTCCTCCTTTGTCCTGACCTAGGAGAAGCCTAGTCCACCTGAGGAAACTATAAATCAAAGTTTATACTACAAACTGTTTTAACTTTTAATTAATTAATTAATTTATGTGTGATTTGACCAGAATCTAGTGTTATACTATGTGACATATTTACTAATTAAGAGACCTACAGTCAGGTCTACTGTTTGTATTCCATTTGTATACTACATAAAAGCTTTGGGCTCGTATAGTGTATGCGTGCTAAACTTAATTCTGATGAATTCTGGAAGAAAGGGTACTTTTTATTGTAATTGGCTTAAAGATAACCATGAGACTAATGGTAACTATCACTATAGTAGAGAGGAGATAGTTCCAACCATTTGCATAAAAAAGCCCAGTGAGGAACCTCTAACAAGTGTTTTTTTCAATTGTTAAAATTAAAATGGTTTCAACAATATTGTTGTTAGAAAATTATGAGAATCATTTAGAGATTTTTACATCATCCAACAACGAGTAGATAGGGTCATTCCCTACGTTTTTCAATCCCATGTAGTTTAGTTAGACCATCTAGGGAAAGACCTGGCTATTGTAATATTTCCCAGTCCCAAATCACTCCAAGCAAACCCTAGCAGTGTGTTATGTTGTTGTCTTCTGCTGGTGACAGTAGTGAGTAGGACATTCTTCTCAGACCCCCTACCACCTTATTTAGTTCTTAGAACTCCATTCTTGTTTGCTAAAGTGACTTTAGTTTATTCCTATTGTATCTGGAAAACTATTTGGAACTTCCCAACCTGTAATACTGAACTTGCTCTCTGACTAGTTTTCGCATGTTTCCTGTCATCAGGTTAATCCATCAGTCCTGTGCCTTTCTCTAGCCCCTTCACCCCACTCCAGTTTTATTTCCGCTAACCAAATGGTCCCTATCAGCTCTGAAATTGATCTGTTGCAAAACAGAGACTTTTGTCAGGATCACTCTTTAACCTTGCCTGTGACCCTCATTTGAATATCAGTGTCAGGCAGAAGAGGATCCTCTTAGGTACCACCCTGGTGTTTGAAGCCAGACCAATAGTCGGCTTAGTCTCCTGCCCTCACCACCATGATCAATAGTTGCCCTGCTTTTCCTGAATTCTCAGCTCTAATATCTCAGGAGTTCGCTCAACAGGGGTCACAGAGGAGATGGACATGCTAAAGACTCCTCTATCATAAGCCTGTCTGCCTGATCTGACAGTATCAATGACTGTCAAGTTAGAGAGTTTGATTTCTTGTTTCTATTGGCAATGTTCAGTGCTCGAAAAATTTGTGTATGTAAGAAGTAAATACCTGAATTGTAGTAAAGCTTATTTAAAAACCCATTTATTCTGAAGGACTTTAGTTGTTTGGTTGCATCCAATTGAAGAATTGAAGTTTCTGTTTCATAGACGCCTCAGTGAGCACCACGTGCTTTTCTCAATGATGTCATATCATATGACTTAGGTTTAACAGCATTTCATTGTCTCATGAAGAATTTTGATTTTTGGATCTATACTTTTCTTTTTTCCATTATTGCTAGGCACACATTTTCTTTGTGGCTCTTTCATGACCACTCTCTTTCTTTGTACATGAAGTTGTGACATGTGGTTTGTTTACTTACGCTGTGCTTTCACCCAATGTTAGGTTCCTACAGAAACCAGACCTTCCATGTTTTCTGGAACTCATTCCAAGTTGTTTGGAGATGCTAATTCTTGATAAATCGGCAAGATGATATATTTAATCTCAAGAATATAGGCATCTTTTTAGAACTTGAAAGTGTGATTTATTAAAACCCAATGAAATATATTTTTAAAACCCAATGAAATATATTTAAATGAAGCCAATAAAGCTTGAATATACAGATTTCATCAAGTTTAACCTCTTTGAGTTGAAATATCAGCAGAAATTAGAAGTATAGTGAAAATTTTAAGTGGTAGTGTGGCCATTTGTCATTGGTATTGATTATTTAGAAATGTTTCTTTGGTTGCTAGTGAGATGAAATGAAGAGAAATTATTTTATTACGTAGGTTTGAAATGTAATTTGGAATAAATAACATTATTAAGGCCATACTATAGTTTATTCTGTACTATAGCCTATAAATTTCAACCTAAATGTGTGAATTGGTCAGGGTTATATCACAGGAAAGAACTTGTAGGGTTTGCATGTATGAAAAGATTCTGTGCATGTCAACAGGGAGACACTGAAATTCGGCAGAAGCTAAGGCTGCAGCTTCTCAAGGACTCTTCAGTCTGTCTCAAGGTCATTCAACTTGTGAAATAGTTTGGTTATTTAGGATATTTAGATAAACTTTCATAAGGATCCTGGTTAAATAATTTACATAATTTCTTCACAGGTTTATCTAGACTAGAATTTGTTTGTATACCTGAGGATGATAGTTGACTTTTACAGCTGTGTGTTGCAGCATCCTGGTACCAGCAGTATTTGTGAATCTGGTTTTCTTTGTTGCTATTACTGTTAAACATTTACTTAAATATCACATTTTTAATAGTGATTAGCTAGTTTCTAATAAGCTATTTTTTACTTTGAATAACAGAAATGATGCAAGAACTATATGTTGATAACACCATATTACAAGGCATTCATGAGTCATTTTTATATCAAAATTTTAATGCTTTCTGTTTTGAAACTTTATTTTTCTGTGACTATACGTATGTGTGTATGATTTACATGTATGAGTAGGGATGCACACTTGTCAGGGCCCATGTACTGGGACATGCATGTGGAAGGGTAGGCGGTCAGAGGACAATGTTGTGGAGTTGTTTATCTCTTTCTACAGTTACATGGGTTCCAGAGGTCAAACTCAATTCATCAAGCTTGCATAACGAACATCTCTGTTCTCAGAGCCATCACCCCACGTCTCCCTTTTACTGCCTTTTTCTTATTCAACGTCTCTGTTATCTTTCCTGACTAATCTTCAGTTTCTTTTCATTGACTGAAAACACAGTTCTAGATAGACATGCCATGTGAATTTTCACATTTTCTTAGGGGAAAAGATTATTTCATACTTTCCGGACATTCCTTAATGTCACATTTGTTTTCATTTTTAACATTTTATTATTTTTAATTATATGTATGGGGTATGTGCATGTTAGTGCAGGCGCCTTCAGACCCCCTGGAGCTGGAGTAGTGGGCAGCTGTGAAATGTTGGATGTGGGTGGCTGGAACCTGACTCGGATCCTCTGGAAGAGTGGTGTGCACTCTTAACTGCTGAGCCGTTTCTCCAAACCTGCATATTTGTTATTTATAAATAGTGCCACTGCACTGTTGATTCTTATCTGGCACATTATGGTTCCCAAACCAACAGTTTATTCTGTTCAGCCAGACTGTTTTTATAACAAATAGAAACTATTTTCAAACAAATCCAGAAATTTTTGGAATGAGTATTTCTATTGAGTTCTTGTTAAAAAAAAAGATGTTCATAATGGAAATACTCCTTCAGTATATACACCATTACCTCTGGGAGAAATGCTGATTTTCTGCCAAGAATTATGGATCTATATTACTAAAACTGTGTTTAAAATTTTATATAATCTTAAAGCCATGACAAACACTGAATGTGTTCCCAGGAAACCTGAAAATTTTCAGCCTAATGCCCCATGGTATACAAGTTTCTTACAGATAGAAAAATATAAGCATATCTACTTGTAAATGGCCAATTATTCAAATATGTATATTTTAATAAATTCCAATGTTTGGGGTATTAATTTCAGTATTACTAAAGTATTTCTGGTTAGAACGTAAGTGTGCACTGTTCAACACGGAACAAATCTCTTTAGACGACTGCCATCATTTCTGACATCCCCATTATGCCTTGTTCTAATTGATTTGTTTTCTTATGGGGATCCCACAACAGATGACCACTAAGACACAGTTTATAGCCCATTCAAAGTCTGTATTACAGCCTTTTGGGACTATACCCAGGTATTCAGGGACCCAGTTGTAGCTTTGAGAAAACCATGCCCATCCTGGCATTCAGTTTGGCAGCTTCAGAATGGAGGAGAGGGTGCAGGTGGTGGGGGGTTCATATAAGCAAACAACTTGACAGAAGCTAAGATAAGCAGCTGACTGGAGGAGGAGGTTTGCACAAGCAGACAGTTTAATGGAAACTAAGCTAAGTTAGCTGGGACATCCTGACCTTGCGTTCCTACAATAGAGTTGGATAATTTCCATGACATTATCCATCAGAAAGATCAAATTTTAGTTAAACCTGAAATAGCCTCAGCAAGAATGCAGGATGGAGGAAACTTTGTGCTGTCTTGTCCTGTCATAGTTTAACATATATAGTTTTAGTTCGTGCCCATATGTTTTAGGTGAATTGTAGACAATAGTATTACAGTTCCAAACAAGACCAACATGGTTCCCATTATCACTAAATGTTTTATTTAAGTAGAGAAGAATGACACTAAGTAAAAATGAATGCAAATTTTTAGAGTTAAATAAGCGGTATAAAAGAAAAGTACTGTCTAGATTGCATTATAAGACTAGTGAATCGATTCTAGGGAATCAAAGCCTTGCGGAAGTCATGTTTACTGAGGCCTTGTTTACTTGAATAATAGTGAAAGCTAACAGTGCTGGCTCTGTTCCAGGAACCATTCTCAGTCCTACTTATATATGAATAAATTTCACCCTCATCACAATTTGTGATATAGGCATGATTGTTTTCGCCTTCTTCTCAGTCCTAATTATATGTAAATTCATTCCACCCTCATCACAGTGCTATAATGTGGACATTATTGTTTTCTTCCTCTTTAGAAGAAACTGGCACAGAAAGATTAGTAAATTTCTCAAGGTCATGTGCTAATAAATAGTGAAATTAGCGTTTGAGTCTCAGAACAGTAGTCTGTTTTTCAGCACCATGTAACATGACAGGAGAGAAAAGTGTAAAATGAGGGGGGCTTGGAAAATGGCTGAGTGGAAAAAAGTGACAACCTGAGTTTGAGCCCTGGAAACCACACAATGGAAGGGGAGAACCTCTTTCCACAAGTTGTTCTGTGACCTCCACATACACCTCTGGCATGCCCACAGAGCCACACTTGTACATAAACTACCTATAAACAGAATACATAAAATGTATTCTCTTTTTAAAAGGGGTTATCAAGATGACTCAACAGATAAAACATTTGTCACGAAATCTGACATCCTGAATTTGATCCTTAGGACCCATGCGATGAAAGGAAAAAACTGATCCCTGCGAGTTCCTCTGACCTCTGAGTGTACACAGTGGAATGAGCATGCACACTCACACCACTAAATAAATGTAATGCAGAAGTTCTGTTAAAGGTGAAGGTCATTTCAGACATGGGAGCTCGAGTGTAATTCCTTAAAGGATGAGAATTCTCAGAAGCTGATGAGATAAATATTTAGTGGACACTAGAGAAGGAGTTATGTATTCAGATTTGTTGTCCTACCACATGGGCTTTAGTGTGAAAACATGCAGGAGGAGGATCTTAATCCAGCTGAAAAGAGCTGGTGAGCGATTGCTGTGGAGACCTAATGTGCTGGCTTAGACCCTGATTTCAGCAGAGGGGATACACCGCAGGCTCCAGAAGCTACTGGGAGATGCAGGACTCTGTGTGGGTTTGAGAAAGGGAAAAATTATAAGTTGTTTTGTTTCTCTTGAACTGCTAGTGACGTTTTCAGGTTGTTTTCCCGGACGAGGGTCCTGTATATCCCAGGCTGGCCTTTAACCAGCTGTAGCACTAGGGATGGTCTCGGAGTCCTGGTCTCCCCTTCAACCTTTTGGTGCTGGAATTCCAGACATGTGCCACTACTCTGGTTTATAAAGTGCTGGTGGATTCAGTGCAGGGCTCTGTGCATACTAGGAAAGCTCTCTAGCAACTGAGCTACAAATCCAGCTAGACAGTGGGTTTTACACTGAAGCCCAAGGAGGGCTCTAAGTGTCTGCAGTTCAAGAGAGTTCCAAGGTTGAAATAAAACGTAGTCGCTTTTCAATAAGTAGTAGATGAGGAGAAGCACAGTAGAAAGACTAATGGATGATGGGTAGAAGATGGGTAGATTTCAGTTTGGATAGATGAGTGCTGATAAATAGAGGAGATTGAGAGGAGCTAGCAAGGCAGATGTAAGGAAGACTGACCTCACATGCACACAGCAAAAATACATAATAAATAAAGTACTGTTATTTGTGTTATATGTTAACAACTTTAGAGGGCTATATGACCTTGTTGTTAAGTGTATTAAATATAAACTGGATTTGCTTTTTCTCAGAACGACTGGTGGTTGTGGCTGAGCACTGTGAGAGGAGCTTGGAAGACCTGCTTCGGGAAAGGAAGCCTGTCAGGTACTGTAGAATATGTGACAAATAAGCAAAGAGTGGAAATTGGCAAACAAAGGAGGATTTTACCTAGAAACTGAAGGGCATCGATTTCTTTCATTCTTGTGTAATGATAAAATTCAATGTAGGTTTTTACTTTAAGAACTTTAATTCACTTGCTGCATAGAAATTCATTGTTTACATTCTAGAAAATACTTGAAAAAAATCTCAGTGGAGTGTACATATATGAAAAATTTGACATCTTAGTTCTAAGAATTTGTTTCACTAGCCAAGATTATTTTCCTGAAAGGGGCCATGGTATCTTCTTGGTGTACACCAATAGTCCCTGGTGAACAGTGAACTTTCTTAAGTAAAGGCCAGGTAGTTGAGTAAGAGGCAGAAGTAGTAATCATGACTTTGGTAGAACTTAATGATAGAATTTAATTCAGTTATTTCAGTGACTTAAAAAATTTGTGTTTTCTTAGCCAGAACAGTGTGTTACCTAACTTTCTTATTACAAGTGCACTATTAAACAATTTTTCACTAATTTATCAAAATTACTGTTTAATCATAAAAGATTTAATGTATAAATAAAGTTATATTAAACTAACAAAATTTGCTTACCATGAATCCCTATGACATTGCAATTATCTACTTCATCCCCCGAACCTGTGCCTGGAGTTCCCATACATTACAGCAAGGAACACAAGGAAAAGCTTCAAACTGTCCTGAGGTCAACCCCACTTAGAATTTCAAATATTAGAAGCACCAATACCAAGGTGGTCAACCTAAAGCATCTATTGGGAACCCATTTACTTGCTGCAGAGTACTGCAGCAAGATCCAGAGAGGTTCTAGGTGCTCAGTTAGAGGTGGCCTGCTCGGTGTACTGATTGCTGGCAGCCTGGCACTCACCTAGGCTCTAAGCAACAGCAGTTTCTCAGGAAACTGGGAATCAACCTACTTCAGGATCCAGCAATACCACTCTTGGTATTGTCCAATCATACTACAAAAGCATTTGTTCAACTATGTTCATAGCAGCATTATTTGTAATAGCCAGAACCTGGAAACAACCTAGATGCCCCTCAGTGGAAGAATGACTAAAGAAAGTGTGGAATATATACGCATTAGAGTACTTCTCTCTAAATTTATAAAACTTTATTCCTCCCTGCAGTGTTTTGTAGTTTTTAATATATGGTTTTTCTTGTTCCTAAATACAATACTAAATATTTTGTTTTGATATGAGTATGTATGGGATTGTATTTTGTTTCCATTTTTGTTGTTAATATATAACAATATAAGTAAATTTTTTCAAATTCGGTTTTCTTTCCTATGACCCTGTTGAACTCAATTTAGTGCTAGTTCAAATAGTTCTTTTGTAGATTCTTTAAGAGTTTCTGTGTAAGCAGCCATACTATCAATGCTAAAATATGTTTACACTCCTTTCTAAAAAATCATATGGCTTCTTATTTTCTTGATCTATTTCACAAAATTGAAGTTTTGCTGGATAATTTAATACAAACACTGATGGTCATATTTCCTTGGTTTCAAATATTAGAAAAGAATATTCAGTATTTTATAATTATATATGATATTTGCAAAAATAGTTTCATAGATACCTTTTTATAAGATTAAAAATTTTTATAGCAGAATAAAAGATTGTGTGTGTCTGTGTTGAGATAATAAAATTATTTTAAAGATAAATACTTAATTACAAAGATACTCAAGCTTATTGAATGGTTACTTTATTCTCACAGATATATTAAGAGTCTATTTTTCTGGTTATTTTGCAGCAGAAAAATTGGGGAATACAAGCATAGTTGTTAATTTATAAAATGCTCCCATTTAATGGAAAGCATAGTGTCACGTTTTTAAAGACCCTGTGGTGTTTAGAGGAGGAAGGGATCGTGTGGATCATGGATTTTGTTTTATCCTTAAAATAACGAGGCTTACAATCTTCCAGTATATCACTGATCTTAGCTGCTGTTTAGTGTATATTCCTCATCTTGTAAACTTACAGAGTAAAGCAAGATAGATTTGAAACAGTCTCAAGCATAGCGAATCAATTCTGGAGTTTCCTGTTATCAAATCAGACCATGTTTTCCATGTGTATTTTGATCTTAGCAAATTAATTGTTTGTTGAGAAGAAAACTTACCCAGAGTTTGGATTAAAAGTCGATTTTCCATTGTTTTTTATCTCATTGCCAATGGATAGCATTCTAGATATGCAACATCCAATTTCACTTATGTTAAAATAAACACTGAGTTGTAAAATATGCCCAACCTAACAACTTCAGACACAGTGCAAGTATTTTTATACCTTCTTCAAATAGTCTTTGGTAATTAATTTGTGAAAGTCCCATTACAAAGCATGTGAAACTGAGGGAAAAATGAGTTATTTAATTTAGCATAAAATACATAAACTCAATAAAAAAGTTTTCTCTTTCAATTTTTAAACTATTTCCTCTGGGGCTAGAGAGGTGGCTGAATGGTTAAATACAGGTAACTATTCTTGCAGAGGACACAAGATCGGTTCCTAGTACTGAATTGGTGGCTCACAACTACCTATAACTCCAGTTCCAGATCACCCTTCTCTGGATATCATGGGTACCTGTGTTCACCTCCATACATACCCCAAACAAATACACATATATTCCATAATTTAAAAAATAAATATTAAAATAATTTCTTTTTTAAAATGCTGCTGAATAAATGATATGTTCCAATAAAAATTTCCAAATGTATTAGCATATCATTGAAAAACACCCTGTCCTCTGATTTTGAATTTATAAGAGAATAAATATTGAAAAATTGTGTATTAAAGATCTTTTTTAATCTTGAGAGTATAGGAAAGATTCTTTAGAATAAATAAAATTATATACTTACAATATCATTTGAGTATTAATCAATAGTGTTTTTTCCTCTCCATTTTTTATATCATAAAGTAGCTAACTATACTTCATCTGTTTTCTCCTCCTTAACTTTTTACCTCAGGCTGATAAGAAAATTTGACCAAAGAAAAATGTATATGGAAAGGATTAGGATTTTTATAAGGTGGAAAAACATGTTGGATTTATACAGTCTAGAATTCTTCCCTTTTTGGTTTGCTGACAATATGTGTGTTTTGGCTTATGCAGTGGCCTTTAGAAATATCACGGATCATTGATTTGAGGAAATAGCATGTGTGGTTTTAGTTAACACTTCTATATGAATGATTTCCAAGTCTATCTCAGCAGCCCTATATGAATTATTTCCAAGTCTATCTCAGCAGCCCTGACCTCTGGTTTGCTTCCCTGTCCTCCATTTCTTGCAATCTGATAGAATTTCTTTTTGGAAACATTGCAGATACTTGAGGGAATTGGTGGCTTATTTGTCAAGTTAACAAAATCTAAAATCACCAGAGATAAGAGCCTCTGAGAATGTCTGTGTGGGATTATCTTAATTGTGATAATTGATGTAGAAGAACACACTCACTGTGGGTAAGACCATTCCCTGAGTTTGGAGTCCTGGACTGTTTAAGAGAGATGAAAGCAAGATAAGTTCTAGCATGCATGCATTAGTTCACTGCTCTCTTCTTTTGGTTTTGGCTGTAACACAGCCATTTCTCTCAGGCTCTGTCACTGTGACTTTCCTTCTGTGATGGACAGGGAGTGGGAGTCAGATAAGCTTCCTCCTTGGAGTTGGCTTTTGTCATAACTTATCACAGCATCTGGAAAGGAAACTATGGTTCTCTTTGAAAAAAAATTTACAGTTTACCCAAGTATTATAGAATTTTATACTAGTCATTATACCACTAACTATTCCTACAGCCTCTCAATTATACCAGCTAATTACAAAGTGTTTAAACTAATGGGTAGCTTCTAATGTAGAATGAATGCATTTATTCCAACCTCAAAAATATCAAAGTTTTATTGTTCAAACAAAGTGTCTGAGACTCCAGAGTGTGAACCCCATACAAAATGTATTTTTAAGTTACTTTCATAAAATGGCACAGAGTAAGCCCATTCCAAAGAGAAGGGGTAAGAAAATAACAAGAAACTATAGCCTAAATCGATACTGAAGCACAGCAGGACAAATGGTATGCCCTGTAGCACCATCTGGCACTGAGGGCTCCCTGTAACAGTAATCAGAGGCCAATAGATGTGGTTGCTGTGCTCCGTGGTCTTACTACCAGCAGCAACATGCATGCACTTTCTCTTGGGTTGGCTTTAGTTGATACCTGAACTTTCCTTTGACTATGTACCAGATTACTGTCAACTTTAGCCTCTTGCTGAGGTCTACAAAGCAACACAAGCCTGATCTTCCTAGCTTTGCATAGTAGCCTTTCAGAGCCTCTTTTCAAGAAATATGACCCAGCTACGCATTACCTAGTATCACCAGCTTTTTTCTGGAACCTTAGAACAAGCCTTCATAACTCCCTTTCTCAAATTGCATCATAGGATGATGGTAAATTCTGCTCTTGCTGCTGCTGTTGCTTAAGATGTAGTCTGGTCCCCTTAGACAATTGCTGCAGTGTCATCTCTGTGCCTTCGTGGTTGGAACTCAGAAAATATCCCAAGGCAATTGTTTTCTATTGGAAACTTTCCATGGAAGTCCTATGTTTTTGGACACTGTTCTTTCAAATGAGTTTTCTATAAGTGGGTGCTCTGTTTTATGTCTGTACATGAATGAGGTATTATTTACAATTTTCCCCATGCAAAGTGTAAAGAAAGCACTGAATTCTCATTTATGGGGCTTTAACAATTTTAGCTGCTTTGTCCATGCTCACCTTGCCTGTGACTTTAACTTGGTTCATGTTTTCTTCTTTACTAAACTGTACATTTTTGGCATCTTTTGGTTCCTCTTTCTGCTCTTCTTTCTAAACTTGCTGTGAATGTAAGTCTGGCTAAACCAATTTAAAAGCTAAAGCAAATCTGATTTACTGTTTGATTCAAATTGAAAATACTGAGCCCTTTAACTGTGATTCCTATATCATCTCAAACAGTAGCCAAGAGTGTAGCTAATTGATTTCATAAACTTTAGTTTTTAAATTTTTACAAATAAAATTTATTTTGATACATACACCCCTTCATTTTAACATGAATGTATTTTGACATACAAATCTAGTATCAATTTATAAAAACACTCTCTAGGAAGTAGAATGAGTATTCTGTATTCAGCTGTTTAAAAATTGGTTTAATGAAAACAATCACTGTAATGATTTGATTCCAATTCCATAAGAAATCTGTGTTGAAATACCATGCAGCTGAGGACCTCTAGTGTCACTGCTGAATATGGCATTAATTTATAAGCTATTATGAAGTGTGTGTGTGTGTGTGTGTGTGTGTGTGTGTGCGTGTGTTGTGAGAGAAGGAGAATAAGGAGTGGGTGTGGGGAGAGAAAGAGAGAACAAAATAATAAGAAAAGCTAAAGTTAACAGATAGAGGCAAATGAGATGCTTAAACTATGTTTTTGTCATTTAAAACATTTTCTATGTTTTAATTAAAATATATTTACATAACTTCCCCCTTTCTTCCTTCCCTTCAGCTCCTCTTATATCCCCCATTTTCAAATAGTAGCCTCTTTTTTAATTATTACTGTTACATATAAATATATGCACAAATATGTAAATACAGCCTGTTGAGTACATTTTTTGTTATTTGTGTGTATATGACTTCAGGGCTAACTAAGTTATATTAGATAACTAATAAGGGCAGTCATCTCCAAGGAAGGCTAAATCTCTCAACTGTCAGTCACCTGTAGTTCTCTATGGAGGGCTGGGACCCTGGGAGAGTTTACCCCTTCCTCATTAGCATATCTATTGATATATGTCCACTGGTGCTGTCTCCCACCATCTGTTGATCTCTACCTTGTCTCCACTTTCTGTAATGGGTCCCATTTACTGTAGAGAAGAGACAAGTTCTTCTGATGAGGAGTGAGAGCTATACTTTTCTCTCGGAATGAGGATAGCTTTTAGCAAGTAGTTAAGGAATTGTGCTAGTCTACTAAAGTGTAGTGGTAGAGTCTCTCCTATGATCCGTGACCTCACTAGTCCTGCGTATTTGGCTAAGTTTTCTGTACTAGACACTATTCTCCTCCTGCTGAGTGGTCCTTATGTCCACTTAGACAACTGTTGATAACCATCAAGATTTGCACCTTTACATATATCTTGCAATGCTGGTCATTGTGGTTCATGAGTATCACAGCTGGGTAGAGCTATTGTGTTCCTCCCTTGGCAGTTTACACAGTACTTTCTGGTATCTGAAAGCAAGACCACAGGAAGGAGACTTTCATGTTACATCTGGCTTGAATGAACCGAGTCCTGTGTTCTAAGTGTGCTGTTTCTTCAGCAATAATCGCTGGCCTTCAACTGCTGAGAAGTATTCATGGGAAACAATAGCTTATGTTGTTTTGGGAGTTGAACTGCCCTCACCAACAGCTTAGAAGGCTTCTCATTGCTATGCAGGTTTTGTTAGTTAGCTGAAATGACCTAAGAGAAGAGACTATCTCAACTTTTAAATCCTTATTCTTTCTTGTTCTTTTAATTTAAGAAAGAGGGTCAAGTTTTAGTAATTATTTTTAAAGAAAATTTATTCATCTTACTATTTTTAAGTACGTTTCATTGAGGCCTAATTCTCATAGTTTAGGATTTAACCTGTTAATGTACAGTTAAACAGTTTGATAAACAATGTCTCATCAACTATAAGTAGAACAATTCCAATAGCCTCAACCTTTCCTTATAGTCCTTTTTAGTCCGCAAAGCCCTGATGTATTAATCACTCTTTTTCCTATAACCTATGTATTTTTTAGTGTTTTTTTCCAGCCAGGTATACTTGAATCTCAGTTCTTATCATTTTATCATTTAGTTGGTTAAGTAGCACCATTAGCATTCAACATAATAATTGATATGTGTACATCCTCATCAGTTACTTGCTATTTGCTTTTTAAAAGTTTCTTATGTTTCCTACTTAACAATTCTTAATGATTTTGAAGGCCTTTAATTCCAACACTCAGGAGGCTGAGACAGTCAGATTTCTGTGAGTTCAAGGCCAGCCTGGTCTACAGAGTTCGAAGGCAACCAGGGCCATAACACACAGAAACCCTGTCTGAAAAAAAAATATTTCACTTCATCTTTTCTATTGCCTCAGCATCTATAGTTCTTTCAAAGTTTACCTTTTATCATTGCATCCAGATATTAATTTTTAAATGTAAAACCTTCTATTAAAAATATTAGTAGTTGGAATTGAATTGAATGATTTCTCTGTACTTTTCTGTACATATTAAAGAAACTTAGGGAAGAACAATGGAAGAAAGACAGGAAAAACAATAAAGAAAATGGGTCTCTCTATGAGATTGGCTTAGAGAAAATAGGCCAAGAATTAAAGCCAGTGTTTAATAAATCAGAAATTACTGGAAGTAGTTTTATGAGTTCATATGGAAATATGTAGTGTGTATATAGTATATAAAATATATTTTATTTTCATGGACTTAGGTTATTTTTGATAGATTCAATGGTTTTCATTGATTTGGTTCAGATATTTTAAATATTACTGGTACTTTGGTAAGACACCAGGCTGGTCAGTGACAAACACACCCTATTCTGCTATAAGTAGTGTATACCACCCAAATTAATACCTTCTTGGAAAAAGAAAGATGGTTTTTATTGTAGTCCAAACTGTAAGATTCTATAGCACAACAAAACGTTATAATCAGAAATATGTAGAAGTAGATATGTGTTTATACATATGTCACATATATGTACATAAATATATGTACACACGTTTGGTTTTTTGAGATGGGATTTCTCTGTGCCTGTCCTGGAACTCACTCTGTAGACCAGGCTGGCCTCGAACTCACAGAGATACCCCTGCCTCTGACTACCAAGTGCTGGGATTAAAGGTATGTGCCACTACCACCCAGGGAAGTAGATATTTTGAAGATGTACGTGCTCCACTTTCTCTGAATGGAAGAGGTACAACAAAGCATTACTGAATGCTTTTATTACAACTCATTTCCCTTGAAACGGACTTTATTTACCTTGTAATTGATCTCTGATTTTTTTTTTGTTTTCTTTCTAGCTATACAAAGGTTTTGTGCATAGCATTTGAGGTACTTCAGGGCTTACAGTACTTGAACAAGCATGGCATAGTACACCGGGCACTGTCTCCTCATAACATCCTGTTGGATCGAAAGGTAATTTTCAGCTAATAATAGATAGTTTTATGTTACTTGAGAATGAAAGACACTGAAATCCTGCATTAATCAGAGAAACAAAGACTAATAATATGTTTCAGAATATTTGTAATAATTGTATGAAAATGATGTATTTGTGGCAAACAAAAAAACTTTAACAATTCTATTGATGGATTATTCTCCACTGCATCAGGCTTATTTCATGTTTTATTTTATCCACTCATTTTTTCCCCTAAGGGCTATGTCTTATGTGAATTGAGCTTGATAGCCACAACATGACAGAAACCACTAAGGATCTGTCACATGGCTTCCCAGCATGTTCCTGCTTTTCAGTTCCTTACATCTTAAGACAACATTGCTGGCCAGTCATGTGGAATGCTGTTATCATATACACAGTTGTGTTGTTTTACCTCAGTATTCTTCCTTCTTCCATTTCATAGATTGCATTTGCCTGCTGCTCATACCTAGCCCCCTTTTCTGTGAGATTGCTTCTTCTCTTTTTAGAAATCCTACACGACATTAATAATGTATTAAAGCCCTGCTACACTAATGAGCAGCAAAGTGGCATATTATCATGAATAATTATAATTTAAATTTCTTGTAAGTGTAGAAACAGCTTCTGGGAAACTTAAGGGACAATTATTCCTATATAATTATTTTCTGAGTCTCAAAGTTTAATGTAGCTACCCTATGGGATTAAAAATCACAAAGGAGAAAGCAGCATTTGTTAATTTCTGTCTTATAGCAGTGAAACATCATTGCCATAACCAAGCAAGGTTGTTGTCATGCACAATTTGTAATGCTGAGTGATTCTTGAGTGGACAAATGTTTAAAATCAGCTTTACGAAAAGAAACGTAAGCCTAAAAAAGAAAATTTTAAGAGACATAAACGTTATGCTTACCTTTTATTGAGCTCACATTAGTGACTATTATTAATTTTGAACAACAAAAAGATACTTAGAAATTTAGAAAATTTATAAAAATCTTGATTTTTTTTAACTGTGAACTTTTTACACTAAGAATTAACATTTCTAAATAGCTACAGTTCCAAAGAATCTGATGCCCTCTTCTGGTATCCTCGGGCACCTTGTGGTATATACTCGACTTGGGGTGTGTGTGTGTGTGTGTGTGTGTGTGTGTGTACTTCTCTATGTAACCAACTGTTTTGGTTACTTGGCCTTCTTTTCCATCTGCTCTGGGACTTGTGGCTGCTGTGCCTTCTTCCCTTCTCTCTCCTCTCCTCCCTCTACACCCCCACATGGCCCAACTCAGTCTGGTTATGTGTATTCCTGATTCTCCCAGATGTCTCTGCTCTGCTTTCCCTTTTATCTACAATGTACTTTTTCCTCTACCATACCTAGGACAAGTTTTTTCCCCTTTTATTCAGTTATCTTATTTATAAAACTTATATTGATAATTTTCTTTGTCATTTGTATTAATATATTTTATAGTGATTTTCTCTTTTTTCATTGTAGGGTCATATTAAACTGGCTAAATTTGGACTTTATCACATGACAGCTCATGGTGATGATGTTGATTTCCCAATAGGGTAAAGATTGTTTTCCTCTATTTTGAATTCTATCTTACCCTTGATGAACGTTGATAGTATATATGTGGTTGGTGGTTCTTGACATGAAAACAGTTTTCTTTCTTTACTACATTTTATTTTTCTATATACTTCGTCAGCAACTAGACAATGAGTATTTCCCCAGTATCCCAAAGATTCCGGAATTGATCTTTAACAGAACAGAAACAAAGAGTCACAAATCACTGGCTGTGTTTACCTTATGATATTCCTTAATTAATTGCATTTCAGTAAGAATTAAGTGGTGTAAGGTAAGAAAGCAGACTAGATTCTTAATGATAGGCTGGAAAACATTAGTTGCTTTACTTTCAGTTTAATGTTTTATGTTTATTTAGTTCCTAGTTCCCAAAGATAGAAGTGTATTTTTAAATTCAAGTTGATTCATTGTGGGTATTGGAGGTAATGGGATAAATTACATGTATAGTAAAGAGGTCTATTTAATTGCTTCTGGTGTGAAATTCCAGATGTATCCTGTCTTATGAGAAATGAGTGGAATTTTATTTCATGCTATATTTAGATATATGTTTCTGATAGAGATGGCTGTATTATTGTATGATTCCTCTAAAACATTTTCATAATGAAATTCTTTCCTTTAAATCTACATTATTTTTAACAAAAAAATCAGTAAAAGGGTTTCTGATGTCCTTCAGCTTCTCCACATTAACAATTCACTGTATTGAAACTGTCTCACAGTTCCTGTGCTTGAGTTTGTGTATGTCTGATATTTTTGTGGCAGCCTGAGTAGACATTGGCTTCTTATCCCTAAAACTTACGCTTACATTTCACAATAGGGACTTCTCCTACATAGCTTCAGAATAATGATGAAAATGACCAAACCAAACTTATCTAACCTAGAAATCTTAATCATATTTATTCACATGCAGTGTGGCAGTTTTTAGTAGTATTCCTTTGTGTTTGCTCCATGGACTCTCAAAAATCAGTCCTCCACACTAGTACCAGGAGTCTCGTGGAGAAAAATTTCAAAGTAGAATATTGATTAAAGTTTTAGATTTTTGGAAAATTTCCTTTTTATTCTAAAAACTTAGATTGTAGGTTTCTTTTTTCCTTTTTTTCTTTTGCCTTTTTGAAACAGATTCTCTCTACACATCCCTGACTGTCCTAGAACTTGTTGTATAGACCAAACTAGCCTCAAACTCACAGAGATCCACTGCTTCTGCTTCCAGAGTGCTGGATGAAGGTGTGTTCCACCATGCCTGGCCTGTAGGTTTTTTATTTTTGGTTAGTTTGTTTATTGGTTTGTACTATTGTCTCTCACTGGTCTGGAACTCACTGTATAATCCAGGCTATTGAGACTTTAGTCAGTAAGGGAACATTTATTGAGTACTTTCTGTTCTTTATTTATTTTATGCATAAAGGTAATATTAGTTCTTGACCTCAAGCAACTTATTCTTTAATGGGCAAATTTTCTGTACTGATGGTTTACTTATTAAGATACAAATTCATAAACTTAACATTTCACATACATTCAATGGTAGAGAACAATTTTATTCAGAAACATAAAAATGATACAGCAATAGTTAACAAATGTCGGGCAGTGATGGCGCACACTTTAATCCCAGGACTTGGGAGGCAGAAACAGGCAGATCTCTGTGAATTCAAGGCCAGCGTGGTCTACAGAGCGAGTTCCAGGATATCCTCTAAAGCTATACAGAGAAACCCTGTCTTAACAAACAAACAAAAAATAGCTAACAAGTTCTTCTGGAATAAAAGATCCTTTTTATTATAAGTTCTTAGTTAAGTTCAAGCTTCTTCATTGAATTATCATTACCATTTGCCATAAAGATCTATAGTAAACATGACTACTATTACGTCTGCATTTTCTCTAAATCAATTTCTATCAAAGAAAGCTAAAAATAACACAAAAGTTACTTTAAGTTTCTGACTTACATTTAAGATTACATTAGGTTTTGGTGATAAATAAAAGTGAATTTTTATGGTGTATCAATCATTTGGGTTTACATGCTTTTGTAGACCTGGTCTTGTGTTAGCATTCAGCACAACTTGCTTTGAAGTCTGAGTTTCAAAGAATCTTACTGAAAGCTATAAAGCACAAAGTGTGAAACCTTAGCCAGGAAAAATAAAATAAGTGATCAAACAGCGAGGCCAGAAAGAGCCTTTACTTCAGAGGAGACTCACAGTTGATGCCAGTGACAGATATTAAGGAATGTAAGTGTTACCATCTGCTTAGAAATATTGGAAGGAGTTAGAAATTGGGCATTAATTTTGATTAGACAGTAGCTTAGTGCCCTGTTAAAACTGCAAATGATAAAAGCCATTTGTATTTACCTTACCAGCCATGTTCAAAGTGAAGTTATGGTAAATTTCATTGAGTGTTAGAATGGGACACTTAAAAGTAAGTTGCTGAAAGACAATGCCCTCCATTAAAGAGCAATTTTTAGGATGTTTATGAATTTCTGTCTGGTTAAAGGGAACCCAGAATTTTTAGAACAAGGGTTACCTCTATGCTTATGTCCAAAGTTTTTGGTGTGCCAATTTAATTATAGCTTTGTTTGGTTTTTCATTAACTGTACTATGATTTTCAATTCATATGTTGGAAGTCAGGAATAAAAGTGAATAATTTACCTTTAGATATAGCATGGTGATGATGATGATGATGATGAAAGTACAACATCAGGTTTATATCACACATTCTATTTTTGTAGAGCATCTTTATCTATTAATATTTACAACAGTTTTGTGTGGTGGGCATTATCATTCTTTTCTACAGAAGAAGAAAGCCAAGTCAGATTTTACTGAAATTAAAGCACAGGTTTTGTTGGGGAAGAGCAATTGTGGAGCATGTATAAGGCTCTCTCTGGGGCTTCAAAACAAAAAAGCACTGTTCAAAGAGTGGGACACATGCTAGACCATTACGTCGTGTGCTTTTTCATTAGACTTTCCCTCTGTATGCTGTGAATATGATTTTTTTTTTCTCCATCGGTTAATAAAGAAGCTGCTTTGGCCAATGGCTTAGAGAATAAAGCCAGGTAGGAAATCCTAACAGAGATATATAGAGACAGTAGGTGGGGTCAGGGAGACATGATGTTGCTGCTGCAGGAGAAAGATGCCACAACACTGGAATCTTACCAATAGGCCACACCCTCGTGGCGATACACAGATTAATAAAAATACATAAATATAAGATATAAGAGTTAGCCAGGAATATGCCTAAGCTATTAGCCAAGCAGTGTTGTAGTTAATACAGTTTCTGTGTGATTTTTCTCGGGTTTGGGTGCCTAGGAAACAAACAAGCAGCCTCCACCTACAGACTTTAGTACTTTTACAGACAACGCATGTTCACTTATAAAACAGTATTATCATTGAGGGCAAAATGGCATCTACACATTTTTATATAAGAGGAATACATGAGTACATTAAAAGAATATTAAGATCATTCTGATAAATAATGATTTAACAATTTAGTAAACTAGTTTCATTCAAGTTACCTATCTAGACTTAAATGAGTTATATTTTACATATAAATAAGAAATCTGGATGATATTATGAGGAAGGGACATCACATATATTTGCATGTATTTTGCATAGAGTTATTGTTGTAAAATAATGTAAATGAAGTGAAAAAATCCAGATTACGGTGCTCATGACTAAATTTGAGAAACACACAGCCACACGATACTAAAATAGAAAATGTCTACATGCTGTGCCCAATAATTCAGTTCTAGGTTCATAGTAGTCTTGGATACTGAGGTATTTATTATGTTGAATTTTGTCTTTCCTTGGATCTGATTATTACTATGTGCTGGTTCTTCCTCCTTGGAATAAGACCATGACTTAATTATTATTTTATAGAAACCCATGATTGAGAGACTTTGAACTTTAAGTTGATGTTGGATTTTTAAGAGACTGAACTTTCAAAGTGTTTGAATTTTTCCAATTATATGATTTTATCATTTTCCCCTTTTCTTTTCTCTCTCCAAATCCTACATTACCACCCACCCATGTTTTCAAAGTCATGGCCTTTTGTTCTTTAATTTTTGCTACATATGTATTTATGTCTGTGTGCATTTCTAAATATATAAATATAACCTATGCAATCTATATACTATACCCATGAAGTCTCACCAACAGGGCTATCTAAACATGGCTTGAATAAGGATAACACCAATAGACATGTTGACATGGAAGGAGGAAAACTCATGAGGTTTCTACCCTAGACACAGAACTACAAACAGTAAGATATTCTGGAATCAGGAGAAATAGCCTTCCCAAGGGAAGAGAACACCAATTGGTTATCCAACACTAAGTGCACATCCCTGGAAAATATGTACATAAAAGTATTTGAATGTTTTAAAGTTTTAAAACGTTTAAACTTTTAAAATTATACTGTTTTATATTACATTATTAACATCAGATTTTTGGGGATAAACAAGAAAGGAAATTATTATTTTATTATAATTTAATAGTGATGTTTTTGCATATCAAGTTGATAAGGGGTCATTTGTGTTGGTTAGGTTTTTATCAACTGACACAAGCTAAAGACATCTGAGAAAAGAGAATCTTAACTGAAGATTGTCTCCTTTAGGCAAGTTTGTAAGTCAGTTTCCTGATTAACAGGTGCTGTGAGAAGGCCACGCTCACTGTGGGTGGCAGCACTCCTGAGGCGGTGGTCTTGTATGAAAAAAGCAAGTAGAGCAAATCAGTAGGCCGCATTATTCCATGGACTCTGTCAGTTCATGCTTGAACTTCTTCTCATCCCTCAAGGATGGAGTGTAATTGTAAAATGGTGTAAGCCTTTTCCTGTCGAAGTTGCTTTTGGCCAGTGTTTTAACACAGTAACAACAAAGCAGACTAGGACCTGTTGAAAATAATTACTACCTATTTCAAAGGTCAAATGATGAAACAATTCACCATTAACAGATCAAGTGGTCAGAGGAAAGAAAAGAACCAGAGGCCTGCTGTAATGATGATATGATATGATCACAGAGAAGAACAAGAAACTAAACACATGCCACAGAGAGATATGATGTTTTAAAAATGATTTAGGACCCCTGTCTGTTCAGTTTCAATTCCTAGATACAAAGGCCTGTATTTCTATGATTAGTTCAAGAATCTTTCTAGTAATCTCTGTGGATTTATTTGTGTAGTAATTTTACATCTCATGCACTACGAATGTACTACTGTTTCTATCACCATTGTAGCTCATTATAATCATTTGTTATTTTCACTTGTGTTACAGGTATCCCTCATATTTGGCACCTGAGGTAATTGCACAAGGAATTTTCAAAAGTACTGATCACGTGCCAAGTGAGAAACCATTGCCTTCTGGCCCGAAATCAGATGTGTGGTCTCTTGGGATAATTTTATTTGAGCTTTGTGTGGTATGTATAAAGAAGTATTAAATTAATAAAAAGACTGTGTGTTCATTAGAGTTTACTTTATATAGAGAAAGATTATATAGTAATGAAATAGTTTTCTGTGCAAATTGACTCTATAAATAGAAAAGGCTTATCTTTCAATTTGACTTTATTTCTATTTTATCAGATAGAGAGGGAGAGGGAGACAGAGACAGGGCTAGAAAGAAAGAGTGTATGAGTATACATATATGACGTACTATGTGTGCCTGGTGCCTAGAGAGGCCAGAATGGTGCATTGAATCCTCTGGAAGTAGAGTTACAGACGGTGATGAGCATCCATTTGAGTGCTAGAACCAAACCTGGGTCCTCTACAAGAGCATCACTGCTTTATCTGTTGAGCCACGTCTCCAGTCCCCTTCCCAGTTCCTTTCTTCATTTTTATCTTCATATTTCTCAGTATGTTCAGGTTTTTGCTACTTGTATAAACTAGTTACTGGTTTCAGGCCTTTCAAGGGAATCTTACCACTGGTTCTCCTTCCACCCCACATCCCTGTTTCTTTCCGACTGCCATGAGGTGAGAATACTCCTCTATTGCGTGCTTCTACCTCCGTGATATTCTGCTTTACCTCAGGCCCAAAGTCTTGGAACATGCCAAGCATGAACTGAAATCTCAGAAATTATGAACGAAACTAAATCTTTTCAACTTCTGTGTTGATATCACAGATAATTTTGACATAGCACTGAGAAACTCACAAAACACCCATCGATTATTTCTGTTATCTATGGAATGTTCCAAATATTTTGAGAGAAATAGGTAACCCATTTATTCTTATCATTGTTAATAATGTTTGACTTTTTTTTCATTTTGTGCTTTTGAGATTTAACTTGATAGCAACAAACAAATGTGGAACTCTGAGTTCAGGTTGGTGTTACAAGACACAGCTGTGTGATATGATGGTATTGAACATTAGTTTATATTTTGTTTTGTTTTTTTTTTAGAAAGGGTTTTATTCCAGCCCAAGTTATCCATGAACATTTTTCATGACTGAAGCTGATCTTGAATTCCAGGCCCTTTTCTTTCTCTCCCAGGTGCTAGAATTAGAGTTATATACCACTATTCACAATTAAAACCCAGGGCTTCATTCATGCTAGGTAGGCCTCAATCTACCTGAGCTACCTTCTCAGCCCTACTATCTTTCTGTTACTACAAACAAACAAACTTTACAAGACTTAATTTGGATTCATATTTACAGATTTGCGAGTCCATAATTACTTGCATGTTGCTGCTCCTGAGTTGAGGCAGCATATGACAGTAGAGATGTTTACTCCCCTTGTGGCTAGAAGGAGAAAAGGGAGAAGCAGAGTGCTACAAAGATGTCTTAGTAGTTAAGAACATTTACTGCTCTTGCAGAAGACCCAGATTTGGTTTCCAGAACCCGTATCTAACAGCTCACAACCATCTGTAGTTACAGCCACATGGACTTCAACGCCTCTGACCTCTGTGGGCACCAGCATTCATATGCCCACACCCACACATAGCCAGAGAGAGCAAGAGTGAGAGCAAAAGAGAATGAGAGAGAGAAAGAGAGAGAAGGGAGGGAGAGTGTGTGCATACAAAAAAAAATGGTCCCACTGTCCCATTTAGGGGCATACCCTCAATGATGAAACAATCTTCCAGTAAGCCCTGTGTAGTATTCTGCCTGCATGTATACCTGCAGGCTAGAAGAGGGCACCAGATCTCATTACAGATGAGCATGAGTTACCAGGTGGTTGCTTGGACCTCTTAAAGGGCAGTCAGTGTTCTTCACCACTGAGCTATCTCTCCAGCCCGCCCTTTTTGTTGTATTCTTACACTGGCGTAAAAACTCAGGCACTGTTGACACACACAGAATGCCAGTCTGAAGTAGCTTGAGAGAAAGAGGAACTGCTGTGGGTTGTTACCAGTGTGAACAGTAGAGTACTTAAATGTGACACATAACTAAGGATTCCAGGGGTAGACTTCAGGGCCACCTCTGTCTTTTACGATACATTTGGTGATCTGGAAAAACTAACCATCAAGAATGTGTGGTTCTCAGAAGTAATCAGTGCCTGGGATACCATTTATATCTAATTATTGTTAGATATAGGTGGCTTAAATAATATACTATACAACTCTTAAAAATGTTATTTTAACTGTAGCTCTTTATGGTCAAGCTTAATTTAAATAATCAACAAAACTCTGGTGATAAATAGAAGTGACAATAAAATCACCTTCAGTTATGATACAAAAAGATTCCTGGGGAAATAAAATTCTAAGTATTAATAACATTGTATTTTCCCATTATTTAGGGAAGAAAATTGTTTCAGAGCTTGGATATTTCTGAAAGACTAAAATTTTTGCTTACTTTAGGTAAGTTTCATGTATTTGATTATATTTCAACCATAAACATAATCTATAGAAACAGCTGTTGTCTGCATTGAAGTGTTCTCCTAGCACAGTGAAATGTATGTCTTCAGGTTGATGGTGAGGTAAGCATCACACGGCATCATGAAAAGTGTCTTTTAAAATGTGTGGTTTTCTTTATTCATGAAGGAACTTGAACCTGCATAGAAAGAAATCTTAGTTTCATGATTTAGTCAAGTAAACTGTCTTGTATAATCAAACTAGTAGAATTTAAAACTACTTCCACCTACCATGTCTAAATTTTGAGCTACCTTTCTATGTGACTAGTTGTATATATGAAGAACAGTCTAGGAATAGTGTTCATTTTTCTTTATAATTGGCTTATATATATTATGTTTGAAATTTATAGTAATAAATGTGATCTAATTTAGACTGGACTAAGTTAAATTTGTGGTCATGAGAAAACCTGATAGTCTATTTTATATAAAGCTTCAATACATCAACAGTCCAGCAATTGAGTTTACAAATAATAAAACTTGTGGAAATAGTTAAGTATTTGAAAGTAATGAATTTTAACTAAATTGCTTAATTTTTACCAAGAATAGATATTACACTCGTCAAGGAATTTGGTGTAGCCTGATTAATAAAAAACCCAGAGACAGATATTGGGGTTCAACCTGAAAGTCAGAAAAGCAAAACAGCCATCTGAATTGGTGATCCTGCCTCCAGGAATCTCAGAGTGAGACTGTGCCTGAGAGCTGTCTTCTCTCATTTTATATTCCTCTCTAGTGCTGCAATTAAAGGCCTGCACCACTACCACCTGGTTTCTATGGCAACTAGTGTGGCTACTGGGATTAAAGATGTGTGTTACCACTGTCTGGTCTATAAGGCTGACCAGGGTGGCTATTTTATTTTATGATCTTCAGGCATGTTTTATTTATTAAAATACAAAGGAAATATCACTACAGTTTGGAGGGTTATTAAGTTAAATGTATACTTTATATCCCCAGAGATACATGGGTGCAATCTTCAAACCTCATGTGATAAAAATAAACTATTCTTGTAATCAGGAAAAAACAACTATCACAAGCTTTCTTATCGGACTATCTTTGAACCACCAGCCTGCAAATAATGACCCAAAGATCTACTATTAATTATGAAAGCTTGGCCTTAGCTTAGTCTTGTACCCTGCTAGCTCTTATCATTCAAATTAACCTGTTTCTATTAATCCACTTTCTACCACATGGCTTGATTACCTCTTCTTAGTAGGGCACACCTGACTTGCTCTGTGTCTGCTGGAGAAATAGCACACCTCAATTCCTGTTCTCAGTTTCCTTCTCTCGGTTTGAAAGTCCCGCCTGTCCTCCCCTGCCTAGCTATTGGCCATTCGGGCTTTTTATTATGCCAATCACAGAAACATATCTTCATACAGTGTACAGATATTCCACAGCAAACAAGAGTACCTTTAAAAATTACTTGAAATTTCTCCCATATCTCTATTTAAGTTGCTGTATTTTAGTACCTGTGCTTAACTAAATTGAGTGGGTAAGCCTCTGTTTTTATCAAAACATGTAAGGAAAGTTCATTTTAAAAAAATTTTAGTAGCTTAAGCACCAAAACTACATGATATTTGGAAATGTTGTATCATAGTATCATAACGTACCTGATTATTGTGATAGATTCAGAAGCAGTGCACACTCATCTGGCTTTCTTTTTTCTTAGGCTGTGTGGATGACACTATAGTAGTTCTAGCTGAAGAACATGGTTGTCTGGACATTATCAAGGTTCGTTGTGCATCTGTTTGGGCTGTTCTAACAGACTATCTGAGAGTGGGTCATAAATGATAAATAAGTAAATAAATTAGTAAATAAATATGACATGAATAAAACATATCATCTCAGAGTATTTTAGTCTGGAAATGTCAGGTAAAGGTTCCCACAGGTTCAGTTTTCTGATGAGGGAGGACTCTGTCCTCACAGAGCAGAAAAGCAGGCTGGTGGAGAATGTTGTGGATGCGTGAATGTGTTTGATAAAATCCTACTCCCAAGATGAGGACCCTTGTGACCTAATCATATTTTACAGGCCCACTTCTTTTATTGCTATTTGTTTTTACTTTTATAATTTCTTGAGAATTTCTTATAAGGTTTTGATCATATTCACACCCAATTCCTTTCCCTAATTCCTTTCAGATCAACCCCTATCTCCCTACCTCTACAAATTCGTGTCCCCCTTTTCATGACCCATCAACTCCATTTGTGGGGCCCATACACTCCTGGGTGTGAGGCAGTCCACTAGAGTATGGTCTCTCTACCAGGAGCCAAACCCTTACAAATAACTGGCTCTCCCCTCACTAGGAGCCATTTAGCTCCTCAACCTATGGCTTTGAAAGTCTTTCCACCTACTCTTTCACAATAGTCATTGAGCCTTGCCAGAGGGGTTATGACATATGGCTTATCCTGCACGTTAACAGTTTCTGCCTAAACCTCCATTTGCTGCACAAAGAAACTTCTCCGATATCATCTGAGAACTGCACTAATCTATGAGTAGAGATGTAAGAATTCAGAAGGCACTATGAAACTATGTCTGTTTAGCAGAATGAAAGTAGCAGGTTCACTCTGCAAACCATCTCTTAATGTCATCTACATGGCATCAAGTTTCAAGACCTGATTTTAGGAAGGGACACAGTTATACCAGAACAGTCTGTTTATGAAAGTTTATTTTCACATCAGGATACAATAACAAGCTATTAAAGCTATACTTATTTCTCTGCAGATGCTGACTTTTTATTTTTATCAGAGTGACAAATTGCTATAAATTTAAATAAAGTCCAAATAAAGATATTTTTAATTAAAGCTTAGGAGATTTAAATAGTTCAGTAAAATATATTTCTATAACTGATCATTTATCTATTTTTATTTGCTAGGAGCTTCCTGAAAATGTGACAAATATTTTGAAGAAGTGCCTCACCTTCCATCCTTCTAAAAGGTGATTGCTTCAGACTTTAGGCTTCTCCTGAGAACCTTTTCATGTAGAGTTGATTTGATTTGATAGGAAAGTGATGGACTAGGGGACCATAGATGCATGTGCTGTATTTGGTGGGAGGCTGATGGACCAGGGGATGATAGCTCTATATACAGTAGTACATAAATGATACTAGTATTATAAATGTGATTCAAAGTTAATTTTTTGCTATAAAAGAAGTCAAATCGTGGTCATAAAACTGGCGTATATGAAAAAATGTTTCTAATTCATCTCCTTGCCTCAAGAAGAAAATCAACTAAACAGGAATGCCAGTACTCTTAGCTCTGATGACATTTGAATAATAACAAAAGCTTGTTGCCATTATGTGTTATACACTGAGCTTGGCAGAATGTTAAGTTTGTAGTTGCTGATAAAAATTGAGAAAGATTGCCTTGACATTTTGTTTTCATTTCATGGTGTCACCTTAGATTATGTAGCTACTCTAAGCCTCCTAAATATCATGCTAGAAAAGAATATATTCTAATTTGTCATTAGAAGAGGCACTTTATCAAGCCATGGTAGGGGCAAAGGATAGTATTACAACAGAATTTGGGGTGTTTATGAAATGATTTTTTTAGAAGATAAGGCACAAACAGTTTAACACACTTAAGTAATTCAGCACTGAGTTGTTTAGTCACAACAGCTAGACTGTGCTGAAGGGGGCGCCTTTGCTATTTTCTGTGCCAAGGAGTTATCTAAGACTTTACCTCCCACTTTCAAAGTCTATTACATTTTGTATGAAAATTTTCTGCTTTTATCCATGCTGCGTATTTTAAATCGTTTTCTCAAGGCCAACCCCAGATGAATTAATGAAGGACCAGGTCTTCAGTGAAGTGTCACCTTTATACACTCCCTTTATCAAACCTGCCAGTCTGTTTTCATCTTCTCTGCGATGTGCCAACTTAACTCTGCCTGAGGATATTGATGACTTGTGTAAAGGTAAAGATGAAGAAAACATGTGATAATATGTTTCCAAAAGAGCCTTGTTTCCAAAAGAAGCCCTTAACCTGTTTACTTTTGAATTCATTAGTAACAGATATTACATTAGTGGGGTTTTGTGGTTAAAAGTCAGGGAACTGAGAGGTGATTCTTGTAGTTGGCTTTTTTTTCTACTCTTTGTTCTTTGGGAGCCTACCACCAAGCTCTCAAGTAAATACATAGAGAGTTATTCTTATTTATGAATGCTTGGTCTTAGCTTGGCTTGTTTCTAGCCAGCTTTTCTAATTTAAATTATCCCAGCTACCATTTGCCTCTGGACTTTTACCTTTCTTTATTCTATATTTCTTTCTTTCCTTTTTACTTAATAGCTGACTGTGTTGCTGGGTAGCTGGCCCCTGGCATCCTCCTCTCCTTCTTCTTTTTCTCCCTCCTCTTCTCTTTTTCTCCTCATATTTATTCTCTCTACCTGGCAGTCTCACCTATCTTTTCTCCTGCCTTGATATTGGCTGTCAATCTCTTTATTAGACCATTCAAGTATTTTAGGCAAGCAAAGTAACATGATTTTACAGAGTTAAACAAACACAACATAAAAAATGCAACATATCTTTGCATCATTCAACAAATACTCCACAGCATAAACAAATGTAACATATCTTAAACTAATATTCCACAACATTTCCCCCTTTTGTCTAAATAAAAGTGAAATTATTTAACATTAAGATAATAAAACTATATACAACAAAAACAGTTTTCAGTAAGAATTACATTTACAATATTCAGTCCATCTGTATTTAGCAAATTCAGAGACAACACTCCATTATCTAGCTTATCTTAGTGATTTCAAAGTTTCATACCTAATTTGCTTCCTATCATAACTAAGGAGAACTATAACATTAAATATTTAGTTTTCAACACCATCAAAGGCACCGAAAGAATGTAATATTACCTAACAGCAGAAACATCTGACTGCCTGCACAGTCACCCCAAGTTCTTCTGCAATACTCGGGCCTGAATCTTCAGCCAAAAAGCCTAGAATATCTCGCATATTTTTCAGTGAAACAGGAAATTTGAAGGACTGTTCAACTCTGTATTAGCAAAGTTGAACAGTTTTTCTTGTGTCTTTTTCAGATTGAAAGTGAATTCTATATCGAGTTTCTTTGATGCCCATCATCTTTTTATAAATTAAATTGATACTTTCAGGAGCAATTATCATTGCCATGAAAATCTTAGGTTAGTATACATCTTAAATGCCATATTCTATAAGTCTTTAATGTGTTTGAAAAACATTTATCTGTCTAAAATATACCTGTTTAACCTTGAAAACATACCTAATATAACTACAGGTTTGATTATTATAGATTAACTATGTACCTCATTTCTTAATTATCCATTGCATTTTTAAATTAGCTGCATAAGCACAAAACTCCAAATAAGAGTAGAAACATATATACAGTATAACAAAAATAACTCTAAATTTGTAGTAATATACCAAAATCCATTCCAGTACAAAATACCTGAGATTAATAGTTGTCTTTTTATCCTATATTCCTGTATTCCTCTAAATGATAACAAACATCCATAAACCACCAAAAAAACCAACAACTACTCACACCCCAACTCTTGGAAATGTGGCCATCATTTTCTCTAGACTGCTTCCTTTTGTCTGTAGGCAAAGTCATCTTTAAGGATCCCTGAGAAAACTGAGATAAAGGCTAAGTCCTGGGAAGACCAGGTGTAACCTTTGTTGATATATGTCACCTGTCCAGATTCAGAAGGTCTTCCCCGACCAAACCTGATCCATATTAACCCTGAAGGAACTCATAGCCTCTCATTTTCTATAAAAATAAATGGAAAACATCTTCTCCAAAGCAATTCATGTTTGGATTTCCATTTTAAAGTTTAGGCATTCTTATATAGACTAATTTATTTTAGCAGTCCACTTAACAAGCCCTGTCTGTCTGCAGCTGTTGTTTGCTTGTCACAGTCAACACAGCAACATACAGGGTCCAGATTCACTGTGTATTTCCCATCTCTACATGGCTCATTCTTTTATTCTTTTTTTCATATTACTTTGCTTCTCTCTTTAAGACTTTATTATTTTTTATTTTTTATTAATTTATAAAAATTTCCACTTCCGCCCCTTCTCCCAATACCCTCCCATTCCCCCCACTCCCTCTCCTCCTCCCTCTCCAGTCCTAAGAGCAGTCAGGGTTTCCTGCCCTTTGGGAAGTTCAAGTTCCTTCCCCCTCCCTCCAGGACTAGGAAGGTGAAGGGAGGGTGCCTGAACTGGCCTTGACCCATAACCATACTGATGAATATTTTGTATATCACCACAGAACCTTCATCTGGCGATGGATGGGGATAGAGACAGAGACCCACATTGGAACACTGGACTTAACTCCCTAGGTCCAAATGAGAAGCAGAAGGAGGGAGAACGTGAGCAAGGAAGTTAGGATCAGAGGGAACCTTCATCCGACGATGGATGGAGATAGAGACAGAGACCCACGTTGGAGCACTGAACTGAGCCCCCAAGACTTTATTATTTTTAAACTATTTTCTATGACTGTCATTGCCCCTTTTTCTTTTCTTAAGCCTGTGCATATTGTTAAATACTCTAGAACCTGTTTAGAGCTTTTTTTTTCTGTCTAGATATGTCTTTACTGCATATCTCTAATCTTTTTGTCGGCATGAGCCAAACAAAAACAACTCTGCTAAACAGTGCCGCTACATCTTTAGCAACTGTCTCCATCTGCTGCTCAGGTCATGAGAGCCAAGCCCACATCTCACAGCCCGGTCGGAGGTGCATGGCGGGGAACTATGTTCAACCTCCCAGCTATGGCAAGTTGGTGCCCTGCACTGTGGCAGGTGCTTTTTTACTTAGCTTATTTTTTCTACTTAGCATGAAAAAGACTGTTGAAGTGCTCTGCTGTATAGCAGAACTTGTTGAAGGAGCCGTGTCCTTTTGTTTGTTTGTTTGTGTTTTGTTTTTTGACCTTTCTCAGGCTCTAGGTGGATATTTGAACCTCACATTTGGTACACCAAAATGTTGTTGGTTGATTGTTATTCTTTGTCCTTCGGGGACCTGCCAAACATAGAGACTTATTCTTACTTGTGAATGCTGGGCCTTAGCTTGGCTTGTTTCTAGCCAGCTTTCCTTCAATTATCCTTTTTTTCTCTGGGCTTTTATCTTTCTTTATTCTGTATCTCTTCCTTTCCTCCTTACTGACTGTGTTGCTGGGTGACTGGTCCCTGGAGTCCTCCTCTTCTTGTCGTTTTTCTCCCTCCTCTTTTCTTTGCTTCCTGTTTATTCTCTCTGCCTGGCTACACTGCCTATTTTTCTTTCTTGCCTAGCTATTGGCTATTCAGCACTTTATTAGACCAGTCAGGTGTTTTAGACAGGCAAAGTAACACACACAACTTTACAGAGTTAAACAAAAAGAATGTAACATAGGTTTGCATCATTAAACAAATATTCTACATCATAAACAAATGTAACACACCTTAAACTAATATTCCACAACAGATTCTTGAATATTTAAAATATAAGTCAATTGTAAATTACTAATATTCTATGTAATGTGTTTTAAGTAATATATCAGTATATTACTATATATTTATATATTACTATATACTACTATATTATCAGTAGGAAGTCCATATTGTCATATTCTAACTTGTAAGGGAACACTTCATAGATATGTAGATTTTTCTGCCCATACTTCTTTCTTGCTATAAAGTATAAAAATTCCTGTTCTGAACCTCTAACATGGAAAGTAAACTTTCCAGATTTTTCCTTTCCTAGCTTCTCTTGATATAAGAAGCAGGCTTGTAACTAAACTTGATTAATCGGATCACAGTGGATGTCTGTTTGGCATGTGAGTTTCTCCTAGGGGAAAATGCTTTCTCAACAAGAAAAGGAGTACAGTAGCATTTCTCCTTCCATTCTGAGTGTAGGAAGTACATCTAGAATTTTGTCAAGCTCAGCCTCTTGACTGTCTTCATGCATTAGTCACTTTTAGGAGGCAACCTGGTACAGAGAAGAATCAGAACCTGACAGTCACGAGGCACCTGCTGACAATTAAAGCAGCAGCCAGCTCCAGCTTACCCTCGCTTTTCAGTTCCACTATGGTGGATGATTGTGTGACCAGCACTGTCCAGACACACAGCTCATTAAATTACGTGGCCTGCTTGTAGGACCGCAGGATGCTTTCCTCCCTCCTTGCTACACCACGTCATAGCAGGTATTCCCTCTGCTCAGATCAGTTAGGTGCTGACTAACTTCTGAGAACAAGACATGAAAGGAAGAAAGGTGTCCTCTTGCCATATTTAAAATTGGTTCTGTTTTCTCCTCCTGTTGCCATAGCACAGGCCAGTCTTCTTCAATATTACTCTGAGGAACTTGTCAGGCTCCTAGTGATAAAACCCACAGAAGTGGCAGTGTCCCCTGTGACTGCACCCCCTGGGATGTTAAGTCTCAGACGTGTCCACACTCAACATGCAGCAACTTATCAATTGTAGTCCAACTTTTACTGTTCCAGTTCTGGTCCCTGAGACTTTTCTGTTCTGTGGCTCCCTGCATACCCTGTCTGCTTCTTTAATCTTGTGGGCAGTAATTTACCTCCATGCCATTACTTCTCATGGGTCTTACAAGAACTCCTGGTTTTCAGCTTCATCTGTTGTATTACTAGGTGGAGTAGCAACTTGCAAAGTCCTTACACACAGAAGTGATAGCCTTTTCAGTTACTTTTACTGGAATTCCAGCTCATTGCTATCAGCTCTTACTACAGATGGAAACTGTAATGTTAATTTTGAACATTTTTGCCATTAGTGGATACAGACAGTGATCACCTGGCGGAGAGATCTATCGAAGAGGTTTACTACCTGTGGTGTTTGGCTGGAGGTGACCTGGAGAAGGAGCTTACAAACAAGGAAATTATTCGATCCAAACCACCTATCTGCACACTCCCAAAGTAAGTAAAAAATGTTTCTGGTAATATGATTTAATATTTTTGCTACTTCTTAATTTTTATTTAATTTAATTTTTAAATGAATTTTGGTAGCTGTTCTAATTAAGTGAACAAGGAAACAAAACACTACAACTTGTTGGATGGTCTAGAATTTTATTTGCAGAGTTTCTATCAATATTTATTATTTCTTATGAATATTGTTTTTAAGAAATAATTTGCTTTGTTATCTATTTGAAAATCATGTAATAATAATATATGTATCAGTTATTTTTTCAAACATCACTATTCATGTAAAAATATAAATAAATGTGTATTTCTTGACCTCTAAAATTTTAGTTTCACAGTCTAGGACAGATTTGACTGTAGGTGTATTAGTTTCTTTTGGGCTTACAGGTCCAGAGGGAAAGTCCCTAATGTCTCGAAGTCATGGTAGCAGGAAACAGAGAGGCCACATTCTCATTTGCACACAGGAAGCAGACAGAGTGAGAGAGGAACAGAGAAAGGGGGGAGGGGGGAGGGGAGAGGAGGGGAGAGGAGGGAAAATATTAGCAAGTGGCACAAGGTCATAAAACCTCAAAGCCCCAGTGATGCACTTCCTCCAACAAGGCTGCACCTCCTAAAAGTGCCCTAACCTTCCCAGACAGCTCTACTGAGGACCAAAGGTTCAACTACATGAGCCGATTAGGAAGATTTCTCATTCAAACCACCATAAGAGAGAATAGTAGGAATGATCTGATAATCACTACTTTTGTTAAACTTTTAGATTATTTATTTAGATAGACCGTTAGTTTTCTGCCTTCCCTATTTTAAATTTTTCTTTTTTTCCTTTTCATTTTTGTATTGGTTTTCAAACCCAGGACCTTACATATGTGGCAAGGCAAGTATCCTATTACTAAACTGCCTTATTAGTTCTTTCTGTCCTTTGTAAGTAGTTTTTTTAGACCTTAACGTCTATTGTGCCATTCACCCAATAAGTTAAATATGAAATCAGCAAGAAATCATAGAAAATTAAAAATTACTTGAATGATAAATTCTGAAAAGTAGACTTTTGTACTTCTAAACCAGTTCCAAGCATTTGTTGTTCCTGCTCTGAGAGCCTGTCAAGCAGAGTGCTTTTTCTCCCTCCCCTTTTAGTTTTCACCTATGCAAACTTTCTCAAATGCACGTTTGAATACTGTTAGCACAGTCATTTCCTGCTGCACGCGCATGGAGAGAGACCGCAGCTCACACTCTGTACCCTGCAGAGCTGTCTATCTCCGCCCCTGTGACAAACGCCCTGACCCTGAGCAGCCTGGGGAGGAGAGGCTACTCTAGCCTGCAGTCCCAGTGCATCACTGCGGAAGTCAGGGCAGACACTCAGGGCAGAAACTTGAAGGTACAGCATTACCTCTGACCAGGAAACTTTTCCAATAGCTAAGAAGTACAGGGGGAAGCATGTAAGATGCTGCTTGCCAGCTGACTCAAAGTCTAGTTTATATTCAGCTAGCTTTCTTGCACAGGTCAGGGCTACCTGCCTAGGGATGATTCCTCCCATACTGGGCTAGGCAGTCCTGCATCCATTAACAACCCAGAAAGTCTCTCACAGACATACCTGCATGCCATCCTGACCTAGACAATTCTTCACCTGGGGCTTTGCTTTTAAATGACTCTAGACTGTATCAAAATGACAGTTAAGACTAGCCAGGATATCAAATACCAGACTTACAGCTAATCACAGACATATATATTTAAAAGTATGCCTTGTTTGGAGAAACTTCAGCTGGCAGTCAGAGTTTTTGAAACCTTTGCTTTTTGTGTGTGTGTGTGTGTGTGTGTGTGTAAGTCAAGGTCTCATGAAGCCCATAGAATTGAACTCACTGTGTACCTCTCTGACCCCAAATTCTTGATGCCTCAGCCTCTACCTTCCAAGCACTGGGGTCCAGGCATATGCACCATGTTGGACTTTGTTTCCAAAATTAACTGTCTAGTCTGAATTTTACTTCTTAATGATGGGATTGTGATAGAAAAAAATTTATTTCTAGAAGAAATAAAAAGATTTTTTGTGATCATTATAACAGCTTTTGTCTTCCTTCCTTCCTTCCTTCCTTCCTTCCTTCCTTCCTTCCTTCCTTCCTTCCTTCCTTCCTTCTTTCCTTTCTTCCAATCTTAGTTTTCTCTTTGAAGATGGTGAAAGTTTTGGACAAGGTCGAGACAGAAGCTCACTCTTAGACGATACCACCGTGACGTTGTCCTTATGCCAGCTAAGAAATGTAAGTATAAAAATTACCAAATGTGCTTTTCACAATTGTTAAAACATTGAAACCTTAAAGATAACACAAGACACTTTGCATTCATGCTTGATCTCCTGATACCCAAGAGAGCTTCTGTAGTGAGTAGAGCTGTGAGAGAATGGCATCTGTGTGACTCCAGCCTTCACACACTCACAGCATTGTTGATCTTTTCATCAGCATCTGGTAACACATGATCTTAAATGTTAAATAATTCTAGGTGGTCGGATTCTGATGTTTTAGAACGCATATGCTAATCGCAGTCACCTGATTTTAGTGTGACCGTGAGTTTCAACTATTTCCTCACCTGTTCTGTCTATTATAGCTTTGTCCATGTCATCAATATTTCTGAACGAGTTCATGGAAGAGCTTTTAAATATGTATCCAGATATTGTGATACACTGCCTATAATTCATCCAAATATCTTTAAAAATATATGGAAAAGCACCTCTTTTTAAATAATATTTAATAAATGAATATATAAAAAGTACTTCTTTTTAATAAATCATTCTTATTTTAAAATATCTTTTGCATTTACATTTTATATTATGTTAGTAATACAGTGTTGTATGTGAAGAAATGGTGGGAATGATGCCTAGTTTAACCCTTGTCAGAAATGTGGTGTGTTTGCATGTCCATGAAAAATACTAATCTTTGGAGTCTATTTTTTTTGCTTCTTTGGACTGTTGTGAATTCATAATTTTTGCATTACTATTTTTAAGTAGTTATTACTCTTGCCACCAAATATAATGATTTATGAATTTATTATTTTTAAATTCACAGAGATTAAAAGATGTTGGAGGGGAAGCTTTTTATCCATTACTTGAAGATGAGTGAGTATATGCTGCTTTATTTGACTTGTTCCCTGTTTTTATTAGATTAATAAGAAGTTTCTATATTTTAAATTGAACATTTAGGAAGTAGTGCTTTAATTTATTAGAATATTGTCTTTGTCGGTATTTTTGCTTTTTTGTTCCTTTACAGCCAGTCGACTTTACCTCATTCAAACAGCAATAATGAGCTATCTGCAGCTGCTACCCTGCCTTTAATCATCAGAGAGAGGGATACAGAATATCAACTAAACAGAATTATTCTCTTCGACAGGCTACTGAAGGTAGGAATTGTAGAATAGCAAATGTTAATGATGGTTCATGAGTTGTCCTTTAATGCTGTTAATCCTTACAGCTTGACGTTATGAGAAGAAATCTTATAATCTCTTTTCTAATTAAGTTTTCTAATTTATAGAATTGATACAGGTTCCAAAGGTGACAATATGTAAGAGATCATCCCGAATAAGAATTAACATAATTTTTAAGTAAGGCACAAAAGTCTATAGGAAAAAGTACCAATTTTGATAGAGAAAAATAGAATACAAAATATAAATACAACTAGGTAACAAAATACTAAGCTCACCGTTAGAAGAAATGATAATACCGTTACAATGGGATATTCTTCCACATTAAGAAGACTAGCATGGGCTTGGAAAACTAGGCTTCTCCTTTTTAAAGGAGATTGGAAACATTTTGTAAAGCAGATTTAAGGTGTTTGTTAAGTACCCTGTGTGTGCTAATAATTACCTTCTAGAAGTCCCTTCAAATTGCAGATTTATAGGAGGACAAATGTGCTAGATATACAAGAAGTGACAGTGCCTTATGCTCAGTGCATGCCTTCTATACCACAAGGAATGTACAAGGTTCTCGTGCCCATTGTCTTCTTAACACCAGAGTCCTCCTTTTCAGTCACTTACAATCTGCCCAGAGCACAAAACAGATAGGGATGATGAAAAACAGGTAGAATTAGCTCCTGCTTTTAATTTTGTTACTCAGCTTTTGGAGATGGTTAGGGGTCAATTCATATATTAACCTATATAGATAAAACCAGACCTAATGGTTATTAATCTTAGAAATGTATTAAAGGACACTTCAAATCTATCACCAATGTTTATTACAAAGTGTCCAGACTAGAAGGTGGCGCCTGGCAATTTGAAACACTTTCTATTTCTTGCATTGATGCTATTTTCCTTTTAATTATTGTTTTTAAATTACTTACTTATTGTTGTATGTATATGATGTATGTTATCTATTTATTATTGTGTGTGTATGTTATATGTTTGGGCACCTGTGCCAGAGTATACATGTAGAAACCAACTTTGTGAAGCCCATTCTCTCCTTTTGCCCTTACATGGATCCCATGTATTAAACACTGATCATTAGGCAAGTGCCTTTATCCCCTGAGTCATTCCTCCGTTTAGTCACGTGTGTCAGTTAAATAGCTGACCCATAGAGCCTACATATTTACAAGGTGCCAGTGTACAAAATACAACTCTCAAGTCAAAATAAGCTCATCTGTTTCTTCAAACATTTACCATTTATTTGTTGCATACCAATCCCAGTTTCCCCTTCCTCCTCTTCCCTTGCTCCTCCCCCTTACCCCCACCTGCTCCTCAGAAAGGTTAAGGCTCTTCTTGGGAAGTCAACTACATTTATCATTTCTTTGTGGCAAAATAGTTATCAACTTTGTGGCTTTATTGTAAAATATATTGTACTATTATTTATAGTAGTCTCTCTTCTGTGCAATAGAACACTAGTATTTATTTCGTTGCCTAACTGCACACACTGGGCCTCTTCCTTCCTTCACCACTCTCCTCTGCAGCTACACTGAACATCTCTACTTTGAATTTGTAAGAGGCCACTTTTCCTTGCTAATTGTTTCTCTACTTCTAATTCACATATGAGTGAGACCATATGTATTTGTCTTCTTTGATTGGATTATTTGATTTAACATAATGTCTTCCTGCTTTATTCATGCTGTCTCAAATTATAGTATTTCATGTTTGGGAACTGAATAATATTTCATTTTACAGCATATGCCATGTTTCCTTTATCTACTCATCATTAATTCACATAAGCTAATTTTATTTGTTGCTTACTCTGAATCGTGGTAGTTCAATAAGCATGTCAGTCCAGATGTGTCCTGAACATAGTGATTCTATTTCCTTTGAATTCATACCCACAATTGGAAGATGTGGATCATTATGTATAGGTTGAAGTAAAATGTCCCCACAGGCTTGTATCTGTGAACACTTGATCACTGTGTTTTAGGATATGTGGAACCTGCAAGGGGTACAGCCTAGTTGGAGCACATGAGCCCTAGCAGTAGACTTTGAAATTTCTAGGTCAGTCCTAATTCTGGCTCTCACGTAACAAGTAGCTGCTCTCCAACAAGCCACCACATGCCTTTCCCACTGATGGACAATATCGTTCCAGCTCATGGGCCGGACAAACCTCTCTTCTCTTAGTTGTTTCTGTGGGGCATTCTACTCTGGGAGTGATAAGGAAAGTAGTACAGTCAGACAGATCTGTCTTTAAGGTTTTGAAGAAATTCCATGATCTTTTCCTTAACGGCTGTATGAATTGATATTGCCACCAACAGTGTGCAAGGGTTCACTTTTCTTCACACCCTCAAAAGTACTTGTTACTCTGCCTCTCAGTAGAGGCCATTGCAGCTCTCAGGTGAGATGCTTCTGTGTGGTTTCCAGTTTGTATTTCCCTGGACTGCTGATGCTGAGCAGTGTTTTCAGTGCCAGTGCCTGTCTGCAGATCTTTTGAGAACTGTCTATTAAGAACTACTGGTAGTTATTTTTTTAAACTATCAAGGTATTGGTCTCTTCACTGTATTCTAGTAATCAGTTCCTTGTCAGATGTATAGCTTTCCAATATTTTCTACAATTCTGTCAACCCTCTCAGACTCTACAGATTGTTTAATTTGCTGTAAAGTAGCTTTTAACTTGATGTATCCATTTTTTCCTTTTTGTCCATGTATTTTTGAAATAATTTTTTTAAAAAAAATTTATTAATTCCGACATCCCTGCATTTCTTCTCCAGTATTTTCTTCTAGTTGATTTACACTTCCTGACCTGACATTTAAGTGTGTACTCTAATTTTAGTTGATTTTTGAAGTCAGTGAGAGGAAGGAGTCTGGTTTCTGGCTTTTTGCTTGTGATTACTGCCATCGTCCACGTTAGAGGAGCTGCAGGTGGCAATTGAGCTTCAGTTTAGCCTACCAGGAAGCAAGGCACTGATTAGTGAAACTTGGATAGGCAGGGCCCCGAGAGCTTCAGCTCCGGAATGCCTCTTCCTGCTGCTGTGTCTTTCCACGTTTGCTGCTGCAGTTATTCTCTGATGCCTGGCATGGTAGGGACTGGGTGTGAGGGGAATCCCCAGTGCCTGTAATGCAGTGTGATTATCCTGTTCTACTGGTCATTTTTATCTGTGGATTATTATAAAGGTGATTTCCTCTTTAACTGAAATGAGGATTTTATACAATAATAGTGGTTAGTTTGAATAAAACTTTGATGGTTAAAAGTTTTTACAAATGTAGTAAGAGATTAGGTTTGTTTAGTGGGAAAATTAATATAGGCAGTGTTGCCCCTGCCTCTGATAAAGCAAGGGCTGCAGAGGGTAGAAAATAGGACCAAGGAAGTGTCATGCAACTAGGACTTATGAGTTCTTTTGAGGAGCCATATAGACTATGGTTTAGGTTAACGACTAAGGAAAACAAGTTCTTTTTGATACTGGGAAATGTATTCACAGGTTTTGGTGCATCCTAGCTAAAACAAAACTTTAAATGACTTCATGTAACTAATAAGCAAAGGATCAGATAGTCAGTTAAGATCATTAGACTGGACTCCAAAATATGAGAAGTCAAGCTAGTAACCTGGTTTTCTGGCAATTATAAAAACTGCTGCCTATGTAAACAATTATGGCTGAAAGCCTCCTGATCTAGAAGTCTACTGAGGAAATGTTTAACTGCATGTGGGACTTGGGAATAATTTTTTTCACCTGTAATATGTAAAATGTTTAATCATGGAAGGGATATGGAAAACAAGCTGTTTTTTACTTGTATTTATTATAATCATTAACTTGAAAAAATAGAATATAACAACACTGTGATTTTTATATTGCTTAAAAAATTTTGCTGGGATTTATAAGCTATAAGAGAAAATAGAAGTTAGAAGAAAGATATCAGGAAAGAAGAGGTAAAACATCAGGATAAAAATAACAGAACAGAAAAAGAAAAGAGTAGAACAAGCAACAGAAAGAATAATAAAATGAAGAAGCAACTTTTATCCCTCGGAAAAGAAGTCTGTGTGATTTTTCTCACTGGCTCTGCATCTTGTTCCCAGTCTCTCTGTGAGATGCTGGAAGATTGGTCCTCCAGCAGGATAACTAATTTTCCTACTCCATTTACTGAATGACTAACAGTTCTCCAAAACGTGCTTTGTGGATGCCTGAAATTATGTTCCATTTGCTATTCTGTTCTGTTGTTGTATATCAGTTTTCATTTTGGTACCATGGTGGTTTTATTTTATTACCTTTGTAGTGTATTTTAGAATCAGAGAGTGTAATTTATTGTACGCAAAATTGGCTTGCTTTTGTTTCTATTCACATTTTAGGGGTTTTATTCTCATTCAATGAAGAATATCCTTGGTGTTTGACAGAGATTACATTGAATCTGTAGATGGTTTTGGATAGTATGTGCATTCTAACAATATTTAATGACCAATCCATGAGCCTGAGACGGTTTTCCTCTTTTATGTATCTTCTCTAATATCTGTTCTGGGGGTTAGGATTTTATGGTTTATTTATTTGCTTGTGATAAGCTTTTGCTATGAAGCTAGGCTGGCTTCAAACTCATTCTCCTGCCTCATCATTACACATACTGTGATTACAGGCATGTGACATCATTCTCAGCCACTCAATTTTTCTCATCAACTTTATAGAATAGATAAAGGTATTTTATCTTTTTTATTAAATATATTTTATAAATTCTAAATAATATTTTATAAATAAGCTTATAAAGTAAAATTTATAAATTTTAGGTAGTATAATATATATTGTATATAGAGTTTCTTGATTTCTCTTTTATCTACTTCATTATGAATATAATGAAATTGATTTTTTCCTGATTTCATATACTGAAACTTCATTAAGTTCATTAGTTCTAATACATTTTGGAGGAATCCTTATGATTTTGAATATATAGATCATGTTTCTGTAAGTAGTTTGCATGGCCTTTATTTCTTTGTCTTGCCTGGTCGCTGACTCAAACTCCTGTAACACTCTGGACAAAAGAATAAGAGTGGACGTCTTGTTCCACATCTTAGAATGAATGTGTTCAGCTCTTCCCAGGGCAGAATGATGTTAGCTGTGAGCTCGGTCTTTATTATATGTGGTACATTCTTTTCCATCTAATTTGTAAAGATTCTTTTCATGAAAGTGGTGGTGGATTTTGTTAAATATTTTCTGTATTTATTGATAGAATAATATGCTTATTGTTCTTCATTGTGTTCGTATTGTATATCTCATTTTTGCCTTGTGTGTGGTGAGCCATCGCTATGATGAATCCCACTGGATTATCATGAATCTTTCGTATGCTATAGGACTCAGTTTATAGTTATCATGTTGAAAATTTATACTTTGTATTCATTAGGGATGCTCTTGTTTTTCTTGTCTAGTTTTGGTATTAGGGTAATGCTGTACTCTAGAATGTGTTTAGACAAATTCTTCTATTCATAGTTAAGATAATTTGAGGAGAGATGATTAGCTTTCTCTGTTTGCTGATATTCAAACATCTAGTCCTAGACTTTGAATTGAAATGGGATGATTTTGCTATAAATTCAGTCCTGCTAACCTGTTTTGGGGCCATTCAGATTTTAAATTTGTTCAGCATTCAGTCTTGAAAGGGCATATGTCCATGACTTTGTCCATTTCTTCCAGTTTATCCAAGTTATTGATTATAGTAGTTCTTGATAGTCTCTGATAATACTTTGTGTTTCTGTGGTATCAGTCATACATGTTTCTTTTTATCTCTTATTTTATTTGGGTCTTTTCTATAATGAATTAGTTTGTGTGTGTACACACACACATGAGTGTATGTATGTATGTATGTATGAGTGTGTGTATGTGTGTGTACTGTGTATGCAGTGTCTACAGAGGCTAGAAGAGAATGTTGGATCCTCAGAACTGGAGTTATAGGTAGTTGTGGGGCAACATGTGAGTGCTAGGAACCAAACCCTGGTGCTATTAACCCCTGAGCCATCTCCAGTCTCTTGTTCTCTCTTTCTTTTTCAAGTATAGCTAAGGGTTTTTTATTTTGTTTGTTTTTTTAAATATGCCTTTTTATTTATCTTTTTACTCTTTTCATGAACTCAATCTTATTTATTCTTTTTCTAATGTTTATTATTTAATTTTTTCTTCCAACTTTGCTTACTTGTTCTGTCTTCTAGTTCCTTTATATAGATTGTTAATGTGAAATGTTACTGATTTCCATGAACTTCCTCATAGAGCTGATTTTACTGTATACCATAAATTTTTCGGTATGTTGTTTCTATTACTGTTTGTTTCAAAAAAATATTTTAATTTCTTTCATAATGTTGCCTTTGGATGCATTGATAACTCGGAATTATACTATTTAATTCCTATTTGTCTGTGTTCTTTTCAAACTTTTTCTGGTGATTTAGTTCTAGTTTTATTTTATTGTGGTTGATTAAATATATATGATATGATTTTACTTTTTGATGATTTTTTAAATTTAACTTCTTTATTGATTCTTTGGGGGTTTCACATCATATAGCCCAACTCCCCTCACCTCCTGGTCCTGCTATATCCTCCCTCAACCCTGCAGCACCTCCCCCCACAAAAGAGAACAAAACACAGTAAGCAAACAAGCAAACAAACAAAAACAAGAACAGAATAAAACAAAACAAACAACAACAACAACAAAACCTCTTTGCTTCTCCTTCTTTCCCATCTCTCCAAACCTCGTCATTCCTCCAGTGGCATTGAGGGTCTCAGTGTGTCATAATGTATACCCTTTGTCCTGTCAGCTTTGCTAGCAAATCCTCGTTGCAATGAGTGACTGAGCTAGTTCAAGGCCTCAGGTTCTGGGTACACTATCATCACTGGATCCTCACTGGAACTCTTCTGGGATATCCTGAGGCCACCTCAAGTCTCAGAGGTCCTATGAACAATACCCACAGTCCTTTCGCAAGCTCCAGGGGGTCCTGTGAGATAGATGTTAGGGTGTGCCAACCTAAGGCCCATGTCACCTCAGGGAACTTTAGGTATCATAGAGATGAAATCAGAGGGCCATGCTAGTTGGCCCTGCCCTTCACTGGCCCTGGGAAAGCTAACTTTGCCTCTAACTGAGCACTGCAGCAAGAAAGCTGACCCCCTGGCCTCACAGGAGAGGTGGCCCCTGAATTCAGGAGAGATGGCCATACCCCTAGCCACAGGAGAGAGTGAACCGACCCTGAGGGCATGAACTGACCAGCTCAGCTACCACCCAGGCCCTTTTCTGACTATTTTTATCTTTTCATAGGCTTATCCTTATAAAAAAAATCAAATCTGGAAAGAAGCAAGGATTGACATTCCTCCACTTATGAGGGGTTTAACCTGGGCTGCTCTTCTGGGAGTAGAGGTAAGAAAGCAAAAGGTTATAAACTGATGAGTAGTGTGTAAGAATGTAAAATGTAGAGTGCTGCTGGTGTAGGAACCCACATTTCCCTTCCACGTGCTTGGGGTACCGTGATGGCAGATTGTGAGGTCAAGACCAGCATGGACTCTATGCAGGAACCCTGTCTCCAAAAACTGTACTTCCCGTCAAATTTTACAGTATTAATAGGAAAGTATGTATTGAAATATGAACATCAGAATATTTGACAATTTTAAGTAGAAAAATACATGTAGAGAATAGAATATATACTACAAATTGATGTGCTTTAATATTTTATTGATTAATTTCCATGATAAATATCACTATTATTTTGAGCAGATTATCTAATGAATATGTGTCAGTTATAAGTTTGCCATCCTGCTTATGAAGTATGCCCATTTTTCAATATAACTGCAACTTATAAGGTGTTCCAAGTTGATAAATCTTTTATGCCAATTGTTATTAATGATAATAACAAAACATAGAGTCCAAAAAAACATAGAGTCCATTGTATGTTGGCCTACTGCTCCTGGGTGTGGTGCCTCAACTATTTTTAATCTTTACAGACCTCTATTGGCAGAATTTCCTTTTCTTTATTCTTGCATTTCTTAATGGGCATCTAAATTCTTTGAAATTGTTTGGTTAGTTCATAAGACTGCCTATAGTTCCTTACCTCATATTCATGATTAGTACTATAGTCCAGAAAGACTTATGATGTCAGGTTTTCCAAAGCTGTTATTAATAGATATCCCAAAGAAATTGATTCAGCAACTAATTTTACTAAGTTCTTGGCTTTCCCTACCACTATACTAAGTCATAAAAATAAAAGCTTTTTTATGTGTGATCCTATAGAATATGAATAAAATTTATTGTATTTAAATAATTTTTGTGTAATGCTGTAACTAAGAAATGTTAATGAGGCTAATGTTTCTATAATTACAGGGCATCCACCCTACCCCAAACATTCCTAGTACTATCATTCTTCTGAAAAAAATATTTTATTTGCCTTTCCAATGTTAAGATAAACCTCTCTATAAAATAATGTTTTTATGAAAATATTGACTTATGAGTTAGTAATACATAGAAAACATAGTTGGTATGCTGTCCAGTTATGTGACTGTGTCATTTACCTTTTTGATATATATAATTCAAAGGGGCTCTTCTGGTTGGTTTTTTTTTTTTTGAAGTAAAATTTTACACTGTTGCCATGGTGTCTACCTGCTTCTACCTCTTGAGTGTTGGGATTAAAGGGGTGCATCAACACACCAGGTAAAGGTCTACATCACCAAAATGGCGAATGTCACTTACAATAGACCTCCATCATACATGTCAAAGATGTAGAGAAATTTTTTGTTGTTGCTTTTAAGTTGTTGTTTTGTTTTGTTTTGTTTTTTGAGACGGGGTTTCTCTGTACCTTTGTACCTGTCCTGGAACTCACTCTCTAAACCAGGCTGGCCTCAAACTCACAGAGATCTGCCTGTCTCTCCTTCCTGAGTGCTGGGATTAAAGATGTACACCCCCACTGCCCAGCTAACATTTACTATAATTGGGTAGGTCTTCAAAAAATAGGTATTTATATGAAACAGGTTTCTTCTGCTAAGCATCACTAATCCAAAAGTTTGAAATTTAAAAGCTTTGAATATTGACATCTTTCTGAAAACTAATAGATTTTGCATCTTTTATATTAGAGATACTTTATTCAAATATTCCAAAAGTAGAAAAATTATAAAGTTGAAATACTTAAGATCTCAGTATATTAATGTGCAATGTCATTTTATTAAGGATATGATAAAGTAATGTCTTATTTTTTGCAGGGAGCTATTCATGCCAAGTATGAAGCAATTGACAAAGACACTCCAATTCCCACAGATCGACAAGTAAGGTTTTCCTAAGGCAATTCTGCTAATTCCTTAAATGTTAAAAGGAGTGAGGAAAATTCTCTTCCTTTCATTATTACTGTTCTGTCACTGACCAATGTGTATGGTGTTAGAAAAGGAGTTAATATGTTCAGAAACTAATGTGTGATATTTCCGAAGATTCATTGAAAAACTCAAAAACTTTTATCAACAGATTATAAAGGTGAAATAGTCTGTAAAATATCTCTTCTCTTACTTATTGAAGAAGCAAGGGCTTCTGTAGGATCATCCATTACAGTTGTATCTCAATGCCTTGCTGGTTACAGATTGAAGTGGATATTCCTCGCTGTCATCAGTATGATGAACTGTTATCATCCCCAGAAGGTCATGCAAAGTTCCGGCGTGTACTGAAAGCTTGGGTAGTTTCTCATCCTGATCTTGTGTACTGGCAAGGTAACTTTTTAGTTAGTAGGACTTTTCTTCAAGTCTTTTTCATTTTGAGGGGGAAGAAAAACACTAAAATTCCAGTGCATTTTGAAGATGTTATCTCTACATAAATTATCAAACAAACTTGGTCTAAATGCTTTAAAGAAAACATTTTACATGATATTTAGGCAGCATGAGGTGGCATTGGGAAAACAGAGTCTAATCTTGTGGAAACAATTTTAATCTTATCAAAAGTAGTGAAATAACTTTTACCACAAAAGACATTAGACTATTTGAGAACGTTACTATTTAAGCATTCCTAATCTATAATTACTGTAATAATTAGGAAAAGGCTATCACCTTAAAAGTGCTCATTTTAGTTCTTTCCTTTTTTTCCCTAGTATCTTTAATGTCTCTAATCCTGGATTTTTAGCATTTGCCATTATTATTTTTATGATCACTAGTTTATAAATGAGGAACCAGTTCAATCCAACCCATTTTTGAGTGTTTTGTTGTAAGCAGTGGTTTTTGATTTTGAGTTTCATATTGATTACTTACTACTCCTAAAGGTTTGATTATCTGTTGTCCAGCACATTTCAGAGATGTTCTATATCCTCTGAACCCATTTGTGTGTGTATATATATGATTATAAGTGAATAGCATTATTATCAATAAAACAAATATGTATTTGTATATTTTTCACTAATTGTAAAGATTTTTTCATAACATGAAGAAAAAGCACTTATGGCAAAGAGCCATCTCTTAAATGAGAAAGCATCCTGAAGGGTCCAAATAATTATTTAGTTCATATACAGTTTGAGTCAGAATTGTGACGTAAAGTCCTCTAACATATTCATGTGTCACTATTGCTGTTGCTCTTTTCCTTATAATCATATGTATGATTAATAATAACTGACTTATTTTGGATACTGATGATATGGAAGATGCAGAACGGGCATCTGTAGATGTACTTACAATGCTTAACATTTGGAAGGAGTGCAAGACTAGAGTAATGGAGTGTATTCATTTTACTTTTTGTCTCAACTCATCTACATCAGGTCTTGACTCACTGTGCGCTCCATTCCTGTATCTAAATTTCAACAATGAAGGTAAGCTTTTTATCATTGAGAGATCATTATGCATATTATTCTTAAATATAGGGCTCAAAAATAGAAGTTCTTATCTTAAATTTTTATTTTACCTTATACGTATCATAAAATACAGTGAAATAAAATTAATTTCTCTTAGAGAGTAAAAGTAATTAGTATTGAAGGGTATTCCTTGTCACCAGTTCATGTCTAAAAGTTTGGTGGGAATTAGGCTAATTCTTCTAAATTAATTTACCTGCTTTGATATCTTTTATAATTTGATAATTTTTATAGATTTTGGGAGAAGGTTCTGACTTCTTTAGAAATTGCTGTTAAGTGTGTTCTCCAAATAATTTGTAAACCAATCAATATTGTCAAGGTCTTTCCCTTATCAGGTATCCTGTCCATGTTATTTTAATTGTACTTGTTTGATAAAGACCTCTTAGTTCCCTTTCTGCACCAAGTCAACACTTTATGGATCAGGTGATTGATCCTCTGTCTGTTCTGTTCTCACAGACTGCTACCCATACTAGTGCTGCCAATCTTTGTTCTCACACACTCATAACCACATGCTAGTGGTGCCAGCTTTGCTCTCAGAGACTAGTACTCATGTACTAGTTCTGCCAAACTTTGTTTGACAGTCTGTTAATTAATGGCAGGTTTTTTTCTGTCCCTCCATTTTAGGACCTTTTATAATGGATTTTTAAAATAGTCTTTGGTAGATTCAACAAAATCAAATTTTGAATTCTGAATTACATCACACTTGGAGTATTCTGTCCTATATTACTTTAATATATAGGTATCTCACCTTAGACTACTCATTTTTCATGTGTTGACATAAGAAACAGAAGCTTCTGGAATTGGGTAGAGATGGCATAATCTCCAAAAACTTCTATTTCTCTCTCTGAATGATTTTATAGTGCACTGTTCTGATATCCTCACTCATTAGTCTGCTCTTGAGCTTTTGCTGTGTTTACTTTGGTATATCCAATTATGGGACACCGATCCAAGAATAATAAAATATCTGTATTTGAAAGTACAGGTTATGACTAGTATTCCTAACTCCGGAAATCTTGCCTGGATCAGTAGTAATTAAGGATTGTGAGGCTTAATTGTGAGTACCTCATTAGTAATTAGTGCTTAGAAATTAAAATAAATAAAGTTCAGGCAATTAAGATTTTACTATTGTGGTACAATGATTGACACAGTAGTTTGAAATTGAAGTTACTGGAATGTTTATCTTTTGTTGTCTCAATTTTTAAACAGCAGAAGCTTTTCTTCCTATAATTTTCTGTTTCTAGCACTTATTACCATATTTATTGTTTAATAGTAGACTCAAAACTATTGTCCTGAGTGAATAACAATAATAATTGATATTGTATTTGCTTTATTCTTTCTTAGCCTTAGCTTATGCATGCATGTCTGCTTTTATTCCAAAATACCTGTATAACTTCTTCTTGAAAGACAACTCACATGTAATTCAAGGTAAGCAAATGACTTTTCCTGTCTTTATATAGGACAAATTTCTATCAAAAATAACCAGTCTTGTCTTCATATGGAATTGTTTTTTCTTAACAAAAATAACTTATCTTCAGGATAATAGTTCTGACCCAGTAGCACATATTTATGGTTCATCACCAAAACCCAGGAAGAAAAGGAATTTTTTTTCTACTAATTCACAAGGAATTATAGTCCTTTTCTCTGACAGTCTTAGACTAATATCTGCTCTCAGCTCAGTTCGGATGCAGACATATTAGTTTAATAATGTGAAGTGTACTCTTTGTCTTTACCAATTAAAATGAAAACCAATTATTTTGGAGGACTGTTTGATAGCTTACAGTATAGGCATATGGTAGCCAGTGAATGTTGGCACAGCATTAAGCATGTTTGAATTGCTTTATAAGATTGAGGTGTATTCACACCTTAAAGACATAGCTGCTAAAGATCAGAATGGAAAAGATACATACCATTTAAGTTTAGGGTATAAAATTTCCCCAATTTTCTGTTTAGATGTATATTTTTCTAAGACCTTTAAGGGAAAGTACAGCATCTTTTTTACAGTGATGTTCTGTCATTTGTATCAGTACCATGTTGTTTAGGTTAGAATATGAGTAAAAATATGAGTAAATCCAGGTATTTTTGAAAACTAAATATGGCTGTACTATGCCAAATGCTGTGTGCCAAACCAGTCCAAACTAGGATGTATAATCCCACCACACATGTGGCACGCCCCCTGACCAGCAGGGGAAGAAAGACCACTGACACGAGGATTCTTCTCTGATCACGCTTTAATGAAGCACTGCTTGGTTGAGGGAGAGCTGGAAGTGAGGGGCCCCGAGCTGGGAGGAGTGGCGGCTTATATGCAGGTTGAAAAGATGTTCCCCCCTAACAGGACACTAGTCAGGCTAGGATTGGTGCAAAGCTGTTGCTAGGCAAACTAAGGCAAGACTCGCACCAAAAATAGAATTGCTTATCTTGTTTACCACGCTTCTCAGCGCCATCTTGTAATGGCGGATCTCAAACACGTGTGGATCCCCACACACACAGACATTCAGCAAGCTGTTGGCATAGAGAAAGGGAAAGAGAAAGACATAAAAACTGTAGCTGCCAAATGTGGTGTGTGCAAATGAGTCTCCTTTCTCCACATACACTAGGTGTGCCGCGGAGGGCCAAAGTCACTTTCACTGTCGTGATTTAGAGACGGCAGTTTAATTAATGAACATACATGATATTTTGCTTTAATGGTATGCTATATAGAGAAAGCGAGGATATATGAAGTATTGAGTCTGACAAGAATTTCTTGTATCACATGACTAATCTTTTTTTTCCAGTATAGAAATTGTTCTAAGTAGAAAAGTAACTAGAAAAGTTACTAGATAAACCTTCTTGCTACTTTAAAAAAATATTGTTGCATATATAGCCCTAAATATTATTTTTCTTGGGCTGAGAAGATAACTTAATGGTACAGTGCTTGCCTAGCATGTGTGAGGCCCTGGTTCAATCCCGACACCACCACATTTTTAAAGTAAATTATTTTTCTCTTTCTATTCTTTTGAGCCCCCTCTTCCCATGTAGTTATAAAGATTTGTGCTTCTTTGGCTTTTACTAAGTAGTTCAAACTTTTATTGCCACCTTGTTAGTGGAAATAACTTCATTGCTTCCTGAATGCTGGGATCTGCAAACCTTGTATGCATTTTGTTTGGTTGGTTTGGGTTTTGTCTCTGTAGACTGGCTAGTCTGAAACTTGGTATGTAGCTCAAGCAGGCTTTATTCCTCCTGCTCTGGCGTGCTGGAATTGGAAGCATGCATGAGCACTGGCAGCATGTTTCTGCCTGCTGATGCTGCCATCATCTTTAGGATGAACTAGCAATATTATGAGAGATAATGGATGGCAAATTAAGGTTTCGTTCTGAATAGTGAGCAGGCACGATCGCTTGCCTTGAATCTGTATCCATGTCCTTCATCTCTGTTCTCCCCAGCTAAGAGAGTCAATGCTGAGAAGCTGGTCAGAGAGGAAACCAGTGTGGATACTTATGTGGAGATTTGGAAAGTTCCTCTCTCATATGCACCGTTCAATGTTTCAATGTTTTAAGTAAACAACATGGCTTATTTATAAGCAGCCAAAAAAAATGATAGTAACAGATGATGAAATTCTTACATCAGTTTCATTTGGGGTTGTAATTGCAGAATGTATAGTAATTGTAATTGTATAGTAAGTAAAAGAGAACAATAAATTTTAATACACAGAAATTAGAAAGCGCAGTTCATTATCACTGTATACCACATTTGAAAAACTGAAACTACAAGATTTCTTAATAAAACATAGGAAGTTTATATGTGGTTTTATGGTATAGTTTAGAAACTACCCTTGAGATTTTATGGATGATTGTATAAATATCTTCATTTTAAAAACTGAGTAATACTCATCTTTAGAAAATACTACCTTTGAGACTGTTTTAAGAATCATGATTAATATTTTTATCATTTTTGCAACTCATAATTATAGCATTTTATCATTTTAATATTCCTTTAAAATGGTTAGTCAGGGCTGAGAGATGGCTCAATAGTTAAGAGCACTGTTCTTCCAGAAGACCTGGGTTCAACTCCCAGCACCCACATGACAGTTCACGTGTCTAACTCCAGTTCCAGAGGAACCAGTGCCCTCTTCTTGCCTTCTTGGACACAAGGCGTGAGCGTATTATACAGACATGCATATAGACAAAATACCCATACACATTAAAATATATATATATATATATATTTAAAATGTATCAGTAGTGTTAAATGTGTAGAATCTTCTGTTTTAATCTAACCACTGTTATATTTTATTGTGACTACCTTTAGTTTCCTTCTTAAATCAAATCTAAGGATATGTATAATTGGGCTTTTTGTTACTTTATGGAACTTTAAATTCTATTACGGGAGAACATGTAATATGGGTTTACATATATTTTTATACATAATAATATATAATATACTTGTATGTATATTCTCCCAAAAATAAAGAGCTCACACTGAGCTTCATTTGAAAGCTTGTTCTTCACAGCCCAAACTTTGCCAGCTTTATAGATTATATTTATCAATGTGAAGTTATATTCAATACAATAAGACATAAATGATGTTCTTGTATATATGTGTATTTGAGTGTGTGCATGCTAGTATAAATCCAGTCATTGGTGTTTGGCAGAACACAAGGAAAATATGGGTGAGGTTTCTTCAGTAAATCCTTAATTAACTGTATAAATCCCATAGTAATTAAGTTTATCAGACTTAAGTAGGAATGGTGTTTAATAAACCCAAGCATAGCTGTGGAGAATTGCCTGAGGCATGAATTTCTGCTTTAAATTGGAACATGCTTTTTGGAAGTTGAAAGTTAATAACTATAGCTTATCGATATACAGTTGAGTACTTATGGTGGCTGATGTTGCCTACATTTGGTTTCTGTGTAGATTGAAATTATAAATCTATTATAAGGTAGGATGGGAAAGCAGTTATAAAAAACTTAAATGTCATTGTTTCCTAGGGCACTCAAATATGTCCTAGATCTCAATTTGATTTGTTTCTCTCAAAGCTAATTGAAATTATACCATATTGTTCTGAGATGGGAAAAAGTGGGGTAGTGGATAAATTGAAATCTGTTGTATACGAATGAAGAGTAATTCAAGAAATGTGTTAATTGAGCATCCATTTTTTATCTATAATGAATAGACAACGTTTACATTAAGTCAGTGATGGGATTTAGTTTTATCATTGAAGAGAGCACAGCATTGACATTCCCTGTACGTGACTTGACACCTACTAAAAGCATGCACAGCATTCACAAGCAAGAATTAGGAACAGTTTTAATTGAGAAAAAAATGTTACTTTTACTTATTACTGTTTCTTGAAATGACACAAGTGCTTGTAAACACCGATAAAGCAGGGTAACATTATTTTAGAGATTATTTCATCAAAGAATTCAGTTTTAAAAATCAATTATTTTATTGAAGAAAATTGAGATTTTTTTCATTATTAAGTTATTTTGATTTCAATTTCAAAAGTAAAATTGATCTCATTTGTCTTGCTGTGTTTTCTTTCTTTACCTTGCAGTCCAGGATGTCTTAGATTTCACAGTCTTCTTCCCTCTACTCCCAAGGTTTTGCGATTACAGGCTTTAATTTTTCTTAATAAGCAAAAGGAAGTTACTGATTTGGAGCACATGGTGCCACAATCTTATTTAGGTCCATCAGTATGTCTTTAATAAATTGGTAAAATTAGTAACCTGTTAAATCAATGCATAAAGTATGAATATATTCTTATATGTATGAACCAGATAACTTGTAATAAGATTAAAATAAGTAAAATGTGTGTGTCTGTATGTGTGTGTGCCCATGTGTGTGTGCATGTGCACATGTGTGTGTGTGTTTTGGGCGGTCCTTGCAAATTCAACAGCAGGCAGTGAAGTGATCCACAGGAACAAGAATGAAACTCATTTTAGCTCAACTTAACCAACCATTACCGATTCAAACTTAAAAAGTCTGACTCCGGGTCACTTATTTTAGCCATGTTTAAACACAGCACAATTTTGGCCAAAAAGTTTTATGATGATAGCTAAGTCAGTCCCATGTGTACAAAAAGGTTAAGACATGTTTACACTGGAACTCATTTCAAAGTACATATGGCTTCTTTCATAAATTGGTTTCTATTGACTCAGAAACAGTGTTCGAGACAGGGTCTGGGGAGAATGAGTGAGGTAAACAGAATGCCTGTTGGGGTCAGAATTGGCCTGGTCTGTGATAACATGGAAGTCACTTAGGCTGTTGTAAAGTACATGTGACATCTCTCATAAGGATGGTTTTATAGATGGAGAAGAATGCTCAGGATTTAGAGTGCAAAGTCTGGGATAAACAAACATAATATTCTGGGGGATTTAGTTGAAGCCTGACCTACCGTACCGATAGCAAAGGGTCACCAGGTTGTAAACTACCTTTCCCAGTGTTCAAAGAAGACAGATAAATATCTCCTTCCTTTCAAGAGATAAGCCAGCATTTTAACTTTTTTTGACTTCTCCAGTACTTGTCTGTATGCACAAAGACATTTTACCATCTACAGTGTATGTGTACGTGCATATGTGTGTGTGGTGTGGTGTGGTGTGTGTACATGTATATGCATACATGTCTATGCATGTGGATACTGAAAGGTGAAGTTGAATGTCTTTCTAAATCACTCTCCAATTATCTTTTGAGACAAGATATCTCACTGAACCTCCTTTTTTTCCCCCACCAAGCCTCTCCCTGGCACAACAAAAAATATTTTCAATTGCCTACTGTTTACCTACTTTCTATTAATTATAGTTAATGAAGTTGATATTTCTACATATGCTAAACATAGAATTATAGGTAGGAAAAACTTTACAAGTACAAAAGATGCTGAAATTTGTATATAAAAATCAATTTGGGGGCACAGTCACTGTCCTGTGCCTGCTTGTCTTTCATTGTTCCTTAGCTGTGGGTCTTTCCCAACTTTAGGACTTTCAGTCAAAGAGAAACAGATTTACTGTTGCCAGAGAAAATGTATTTGTGCTGTTTGATTGGAAAGCGTCAATCATCCTGTGTTTAATTTGTGACTCGAGAAATAACAGATAGCTCTGAAAGTAAACTATGGCTTAGTTTATTTGTGTTTGTTTGATATTTAGCATTGCAATTGAAGCAGTAACAGAATGGAAAATATTTGTTAAAGTACCCTTGCTTTGTGGAGCAGTTAGATTCTCAGTCAGCATAAGCTATGCTTCACTTACTTAAGTTTTTGAGATAGTTGGTGAAGACAACGAAGGTCTTCAGCGTTGTTGTCCTTTCAGAGTACCTGACTGTGTTCTCTCAGATGATTGCGTTCCATGATCCAGAGCTGAGTAATCATCTCAACGAGATTGGCTTCATTCCTGATGTAAGTACACCTGGTGCGTTAGGAAAGCAGGGGGTGAAAAGTTATAAAGTCCAACAGAAAAGAGGAAATACAAGACGGCATTCTTAAATGGTTGGTGATCGTAATTTGTTGTAATTGTTGTCTGCACAAATTACTGAAGCTAACTACAGCTTTGTGTTTGTGCGGTTACTTTCCATGTACTCATGTAAAAGAAGATAGAGTTTCACTTTCCTTGGCATACTACTATTAACAATTTGTTGTTTAAAACCCATTGAAGGGGCTGGAGAGATGGCTCAGTGCTGAAGAGTACTGCTTGCTCTTCTAAAGGTCCTGAGTTCAATTCCTGGCCACCACATGATGGCTCATAAGCATCTGTAATGAGATCTGCTACCCTCTTCTGGCCTGCAGGCAGAATGCTGTACACAGAATAAATAAAAATCTAAAAAAATTTTTGAAGAGTGGATTAAAAATAGTATTTTTATGAATTTATCACAAATTTCATGCAATGTATTTTGATCATATTAAACCCCCTCTCCCATCTCCTATGAAATGCATCTCTCTCCCTCTCTCTCTCTCTCTCTCTCTCTCTCTCTCTCTCTCTCTGACTGTCTGTCTCTATTTCTCACTCTCCTTTCTTCCATCTCCACCTATCCAACTTTGTGTGTGCACTGCTGGTCACTTCCTCTCCCTCTTCCTCCTCTCTAAATTCATCAAGTCTAGTTTGTGATGTCCAAATAACTTCAGTGTGGGCCATGGTCAACTTACTAGAGGAAAGTGTTTAAGTAAATTGTGTCATGAAGGGATTTCACCTTGACTCATGGCACAGAAAATTGAGAATCCTTAATGTGCATGTGTATCTGTATGTGCACGTGTGTGTATGTGTGTCTGTGTGTGTGTAGCTGAAACAAATTTACCAAGCAGTATTTCATACTTCTTGCACATTTCCTTCTATTTTTAAATGTTTATAAATAACCAGCTGATTTTTAAACTTCAACCTCAAAATGCTTGTATGAAGAATTTATAAAAAATAAACTGATTATAATCCACAGATAAACTTTGGGATAGAGATTTCTTTGTATATCTTAACTCCTGCTCAGTCTTTTCTCTGAAAAGCTTCTACCCTGAAACTGACTGTTGAAAGGTGTGGGTGAAAATATTTGTCTTAATACTCCACACATTTCAAAGTGCTAACAATAGCAGTGATTAAGTAAATGTGTGGAGAGTGTTTGAAAGTTTAAAAATAACTAATTAGTCCTTAAACTTAAACTCTGACTCTTTTTCTTGGTCCTACCCCTTGGCATACAGTCCGGTACCTCTTCCATAGGGAAAGTAGAAACAATCTCCACTAGATTTGGAGAGAAACAGTTTTTCATGTGGATCTTTATTTTGGTGGGGTGGGGTTTGTTTTTTTTTTTTTTTTTTCAAGACATGGATTCTCTGTAGCTTTCGGCCTGTCCTGAAGCTATCTCTTGTAGACCAGACTGGCCTTGAACTCACAGAGATCCACCTGCTGGGATTAAAGATATGCACTTACTGAATCTTAGTAAGGGCTAAAAAGAATATACTGGATTCAAACAGTACAAAGCTATAATCACTGAGCTAAAAAACAAAACCACAACAACAACAACAAAAAACTCTGTGAAGCAAACTAGTATCCATTTTATTAAATTTCACTTATATAAAGTTTAAATGAATGTCTTACCTTACAGTATAAATTTGAGAGATGATACTAGATTGAGTCTTATTGTTGGAAATATAGCATTATAAAGGAAATGACTGCTACATTAAGTGGTGGTCTTCTGCTTCACAGAGGACAGAGGCTAATGACTAAAAAATCAGACTGAAACAAGGATTAATTATTTTCAAAATAATTCACTTAAATTAGCTGAAATATACTCACAACTCAAAGTAAAATTACATTATTTCAAGGTCATAGACTTATATAAAATATGTAGACTAATATGAATGAAACTATTCATGTAGTTTGATCAAAATCCTTAAGCATATTCATGAATATAGGTGTTACTAGGAAAACATCAAAGGAAAAATATTTGGCTTTGTTTTAGTAAAATAAAATATTGAATTCTAAATGACTTAAAAAGTGGAAAGCAAAACTAATAAACAAACAAAACACTGTTAAAGTGTGAGTAGAGTACACATTTTCTGTGAACTAGTACTGTTCTCCCCTCTTTAAATATAATGACTTATCAAATACTCCAAGTTTATAAGCAATAGCTGTTAAGTATTTATTCATTATACCAATTTGGGAAAGATTAGAAACATGGAAATAAAACTTTAGGTAATAACTGTAAGATTATTTTATGAAAAATTAAGTGGAAAATCCACTTTTAAAGCATTTTAGTGGTGTTTTATATAATTTTAAGGGGAAACTAAAATATGAATTGATTTTGACATTGAGTCAGGAATCCTTTCATATTTGAAACTTGATTTGATCCTAGTTCAAGTTTATAAATTAGCCTATTACTGTTTCCTGGACACTACCAGAAAACTCAGGACTCAGATAAGGGGTTTTCCCACTCCTAGCAGCTTGGACCTCAAACTGTGTGTTCATTTTCCCTTGCTGACAAAGCAGGTCCTAAAGGGAACTCCACTGACGGTCCTGTGGACACTACATGAAAAATGGACCATAGTACAAGACAGGCACCATGGTTTTAGTGAGCTAAGGATGTTTCCTAGGCAGTGGGCCTGTCTTCCTGTAGTTTCTGGAGGGGGTTTCTGCTTGGAGTCTTTGGGAAAGCAGATTTTATTTGTTTTGTAAGACTGGTTTGTTTTTTTTTAAATGCAAAAGTAAAGTTTATTATCATGCACAAGTACAAACTGCTAAGGACTTTGTCAGCTCAGGGGCCAGAGGAGGTACCTACCCTTCTAGAGAGCATTATTTAAAGGCAAAAAACCCAGGAAAGTTCCATTAGCAGGGTTTTGGGTGATGGGTTGAATCCTGATTGCCTTGTGCCTAGGGACTTTTCACAATTTTTTTTTTTAAATCTCACCTCTACCTGTTGCTTGTCAAGTTTTTTTATCAGCTGACCTTTGAGTGGGGACATTCTATAATTATCTGTACTTTCCAGATGGGTACCCTGTTGCTATTGTTCCTAGCCATTTCTGAGGACTGCAATGTTTTACAGAAAATAGCTTACACAAGACACAAGATGGAGGCGGAGGACAAAATGGAGGAAGTTTCGTTCTTCATTCCTCCTTGTTCTAGTAACTATAGTGAACCCAATCATGAGTTCCTAACAGTTAACTCATAAGTATCTTCAGTCCTGAGGGGACTATAGATTTGTGATTTCTGGACCATGAGTTGTATTGTACCCAACCTGTCTTTCATGAATTTCACTATCCCATTAAGAATACAAGGCCCAAAAGACAGTAACAAAAGCAGAATTAACAGGGGTCCCAAGAAAATAGAGATGAGAGTGGACAACCAAGGGGAGCTGCTAAACCAGGTTTCAAACCAACCCTGGCAGGCCTCGCCTTCTCTTTTCAGATCTAAAAACAACCTACTCAGTTCGTTTTGTGTTTGCAACCCACTGCTGGACATGAAGCCTGCCCTTTAGTGTTGTCTGTATACCCAACTTCATTGGAGAAAACTAATTCTACGTTTGCAAGTGGTTGACAGTTAGAAATAGTGTTTTATTATGGATGCATCTCCCTCTCAGTGCTAGGACCCCATGTGGCTTGGGCCTGTGCTGGCCCTCACGTGCCACGTTCTTTGTGAGTTCATATGTGCCTCGGTCCTATTGTGTCTGGACTACATTGTTTCCATGGTGTCTTCCGTCTCCACCTATAGTCTTCCTGCTTCCTACATCTTTTTCCAGAAGTTTCCAACTTGAGGGGAGAGGTTTTATGGACACATCCCAGTTAGTGATTCCCAGGTCAGCCTAGGACTACATAATAAGACCCCATCTCAAAAAAATGTATAATTTCTAAACCAATAAGAAAGATGAAACAAAAATGCCAATCCTGATTCTTTCAAAACAAGAGGATATTGAGTGTACATGAATTAAATTGTCTTTTGGGAGAAGTTTATATTTTTAAAAATCCCTTGATGTGATATTTTTTAAATAAACCTAAAAATGTTTTAAAAAAAAGTACTCAAAACAGATTTTTTAAAAAGTAAAACAAATGTTTTAGTGATGTAAATGTAGATGCTAAAAGGGAAGAACACAAACTCAAATGTGGGATTCGGCATGTGACAGAGATAGCTCCACAAATGCTTCTGGAAAGAAGCAGTGAGTGAGTGATCCTGGGGTAACAATTAGCTCTGAGGGGAGTGAATCCAGTCATAACCTCCCAATCCACAGTAGTTTCTGATCTACTAGACGGCCTAAATGTAACATTTAGAATATGTTTATGAAAAAATGATTACAGAACTCTTGAGGGAAGAACTAGAATTGAGGAGTTATTATTGTGATTTAAAAGGATTTTTTTTTGAAGAAAATGTGGCAAAGCATTAAATCTTATTAAATCTGATAGTCCTTTGATAGTCTTTTTCTGTTTGGCTTTACACAATGAGTATCTATTCAGTAACTTAGTAACTGTGATATAATGCATTTTTATGTTCTCCTTTCCATTGATGACCTACTCCTTAAATTAGTAAGATTTCTACATAATTTTTTGAGCTTATAATAGTGGGGGTATAAGTGAAGTAACATTAACAAATTGATCTTTCTTGAATCCTTTAGATGGATATGGCACTCTATGAATAGTTTACAGTATATGGGGCAAATTCTGGACATCTCTAATACCCCACCCTCTAATCATGCTTTTGCATGTGTTTCTGGGAAGTTATTCTACATCTACTTCCAAGGGCCCTTTAGCTGGTGGTTTCTCACTATTTTGAATCTGACAGCCAAAAGAAAACTGAGGGGGAAGTGACTATATCTTAACCCGTAGAGAAGTCCCATCCATGGCTGCTCCTGACACAGAAAGTTGGCAAATGAAACTTTTTCCAAAATAAAATGAATGATTTTGAAAATGACAGCAACTCTTGTCTTTTA